TTTCAAATTCTTCCATGAATAAATTAGCCATAACTGGTGATAAGGGACTACCCATAGGAGCACCATGAGTTTGCTCGTAGTATTTCTCCCGCCACTGAAAACTAGTTGTATTCAGGCACAATTTCAGTAGTTCATATATACTCTCAGGAGAAAGGCTAGTCCTTTTAGAGAGGGTATCATCTGAAAGCAGCCTGTCTTTCGCAATGTTACACGCCTCATCTACTGGTACATTAGTAAATAAACTAACTACGTCGAAACTGACAAGAATTTCATTTTTACCTAATCTAACATCTTGCATATTCGTAACAAATTCTTTAGAATTAACTACATGATGTTCAGTTTGACCAACAACTGGTTTTAAAATTCTAGCAAGATATTTAGCTAAATTATAAGTCGGTGAACCTTGGGATGCAACTATAGGCCTAAGAGGTACACCTGATTTATGTATTTTGGGTAAACCATAAAATTTTGGGCACACACTACATGAAGGTCTCAAATAATCATGAAGGTTTTGAGACAAAATACCTGATTTCCTAAGTTCAGATAGTTTAGAACATACTTTACGTTCAATATTGGCTGTAGGATCACGTTTTAGCTCTTTATATGTTGGAGTTTCAAGAAGAGCATGGATTTTACTTTCGTACTCTGCACGATTTAATAAAACCGTAGCATTACCCTTATCAGCCTTTAAAATATGTATAGACTTATCTGCCCTTAGGTTCCTCACTGCATCCTTCTGCTCCTTGGAAAGATTAGACTTGGGTAAAGTTGTACGTCGCAAGACCTCAGTTACTTTAACACGAATGTTGGATGCTATATCATCTCTGAGATGATTCAACTTTGGTTCCAGATGTTGAACGATTTCTTCTTTAGGAATCTTGTGTGGTACAACAGCGAAATTTAAACCCAATGCCAAGACTTCTTCTTCAACCGGCATAAGTTTTCGCGCACTTTGGTTAACAACAGTGCGTCTTAGAGTGTCAACAGCCAAATCTTCTTGTCTTCTTTTATCTTTTGATCTTTCGGACGTCAATCTTGTGTATTTGGCGATCTGTGTTGAGCGAGCTTTATTAAAGGTTCGTTGAATCTAGGGTAACCGGGCGCGGCTCATGTAAACAGCCCCTTAAGCAACTTCTGTCACATTACAAATACACAAGATTGACGTCCGAAAGATCAAAAGATAAAAGAAGACAAGAAGATTTGGCTGTTGACACTCTAAGACGCACTGTTGTTAACCAAAGTGCGCGAAAACTTATGCCGGTTGAAGAAGAAGTCTTGGCATTGGGTTTAAATTTCGCTGTTGTACCACACAAGATTCCTAAAGAAGAAATCGTTCAACATCTGGAACCAAAGTTGAATCATCTCAGAGATGATATAGCATCCAACATTCGTGTTAAAGTAACTGAGGTCTTGCGACGTACAACTTTACCCAAGTCTAATCTTTCCAAGGAGCAGAAGGATGCAGTGAGGAACCTAAGGGCAGATAAGTCTATACATATTTTAAAGGCTGATAAGGGTAATGCTACGGTTTTATTAAATCGTGCAGAGTACGAAAGTAAAATCCATGCTCTTCTTGAAACTCCAACATATAAAGAGCTAAAACGTGATCCTACAGCCAATATTGAACGTAAAGTATGTTCTAAACTATCTGAACTTAGGAAATCAGGTATTTTGTCTCAAAACCTTCATGATTATTTGAGACCTTCATGTAGTGTGTGCCCAAAATTTTATGGTTTACCCAAAATACATAAATCAGGTGTACCTCTTAGGCCTATAGTTGCATCCCAAGGTTCACCGACTTATAATTTAGCTAAATATCTTGCTAGAATTTTAAAACCAGTTGTTGGTCAAACTGAACATCATTTGGCGATCTGTGTTGAGCGAGCTTTATTAAAGGTTCGTTGAATCTAGGGTAACCGGGCGCGGCTCATGTAAACAGCCCCTTAAGCAACTTCTGTCACATTACAAATACACAAGATTGACGTCCGAAAGATCAAAAGATAAAAGAAGACAAGAAGATTTGGCTGTTGACACTCTAAGACGCACTGTTGTTAACCAAAGTGCGCGAAAACTTATGCCGGTTGAAGAAGAAGTCTTGGCATTGGGTTTAAATTTCGCTGTTGTACCACACAAGATTCCTAAAGAAGAAATCGTTCAACATCTGGAACCAAAGTTGAATCATCTCAGAGATGATATAGCATCCAACATTCGTGTTAAAGTAACTGAGGTCTTGCGACGTACAACTTTACCCAAGTCTAATCTTTCCAAGGAGCAGAAGGATGCAGTGAGGAACCTAAGGGCAGATAAGTCTATACATATTTTAAAGGCTGATAAGGGTAATGCTACGGTTTTATTAAATCGTGCAGAGTACGAAAGTAAAATCCATGCTCTTCTTGAAACTCCAACATATAAAGAGCTAAAACGTGATCCTACAGCCAATATTGAACGTAAAGTATGTTCTAAACTATCTGAACTTAGGAAATCAGGTATTTTGTCTCAAAACCTTCATGATTATTTGAGACCTTCATGTAGTGTGTGCCCAAAATTTTATGGTTTACCCAAAATACATAAATCAGGTGTACCTCTTAGGCCTATAGTTGCATCCCAAGGTTCACCGACTTATAATTTAGCTAAATATCTTGCTAGAATTTTAAAACCAGTTGTTGGTCAAACTGAACATCATGTAGTTAATTCTAAAGAATTTGTTACAAATATGCAAGATGTTAGATTAGGTAAAAATGAAATTCTTGTCAGTTTCGACGTAGTTAGTTTATTTACTAATGTACCAGTAGATGAGGCGTGTAACATTGCGAAAGACAGGCTGCTTTCAGATGATACCCTCTCTAAAAGGACTAGCCTTTCTCCTGAGAGTATATATGAACTACTGAAATTGTGCCTGAATACAACTAGTTTTCAGTGGCGGGAGAAATACTACGAGCAAACTCATGGTGCTCCTATGGGTAGTCCCTTATCACCAGTTATGGCTAATTTATTCATGGAAGAATTTGAAAAGAAAGCTATAGCTACAGCATGTTTAAAACCTGGTTTCTGGTTTAGATATGTAGATGACACATTAAGTAGTTGGTCGCATGGTTTAGAAAATTTGAATAAATTTTTAGATCACATTAATAGTATACACCCTTCAATTAAATTCACATTAGAAATACAGAAAGATAACTCTATATCTTTCTTAGATATCTTATTTTATGTAAAAGAGAACGGGACTTTGGGCCATAAAGTTTATAGAAAACCAACACACACTGACAGATATCTGAATTATAGTTCATTTCACCATCCTAGCATTAAAAGATCAGTATGCAAAACATTAATCAACCGTGCCAAAACAATTTGTGATTCAAATAGCATTGACTCAGAGTTAAAGCATTTGAAGGATGTTCTGCACATGAATGGTTATCCTAAGAAATTCATAGAACATGCTATGAATGAACAGCAAAGACAGAGGCAAGACACGGAATATCTATCCTCTGTCTGTTTACCATATATTGGCCCAGCTTCATATAAAATCGTTAGGATTTTAAAAGAAGTTGGAATACAAGTTTACCATTCTAGCAATAACAAATTGTTTCGCGCTCTTTACACACACAAGGATGGCGTCGATGAACAACAGAAACCTGGTGTGTACCGCATTCCATGTGAATGTGGTTTGGTTTACATTGGAGAGACCGGTAGAAATCTCTCAATACGTCTTAAAGAACATAAGACGAACTGCGAGAAAGGTAAACTGGATAAGTCTGCAGTAGCTCACCATGCATGGACTTATGATCATCGCATTAAATGGAACGATGCTACCATTTTAGCAAACGATAAGTTTACTGTCTCTCGTAAAATGAGAGAATCTATTGAAATTTATAAACATCAAACTATCGTCCAAGAGGGAAAGCCACTTAATAGTACGTGGCGTGCTCTTTTCGGTGTCTCTTAGTCAAATACTTGTCTAGGGCGCGCGCATTAATTAGAACTTAATTAAATGAAACCGTTTAATTAATAGCGCGAGCAAACTAATCACGACTAACATGATATTTAAGTGACGAGCAAACGTGTATTCAAGTAATTGCACTGATGAAGGTCCGGGTTAACGGACCGAAAGCTTTGCAGTATTTAATACTTACGTGGTGTACCTACAAGTTATTATAATTAAGTTCATTGATAGTTTTGAGGAATACAGGTACCTACATTCCATTATTCCATACATCAAAAGAGATTGCATCCCGCAATATTGGATCATGTGAACAGACTTGTATGTGTATTTGCTAACTGTTTGCATCTGTAACGATCTTTACACTATTTCAAGATACCATTCAAGGGCAAAGATAGACTACAGCTATGATGTTGACAATATCTGCTGTGCTGCCATTGAATGTCCTGCTATAATAGAAAAATAGGATATATTCTATCGCAATATTAAAAAGCATTGTTTACGACCATAATGATTCCCAGCGGCAGCAAGTGCATCTATCACATTTTTTGTAAGGATTGCAATGATTTTCAAGCCGGGTCAGAAATACGGTCTAGGGAGCGTTACGAGGCATTAGATGAAACAGCGGTATCTGGCATGTGCTGTAAACATGGTATGCCTTTGAAGTTTCTGAACCTAAAAGGTGGAGAGAGGTAAGAACTGATTTGTTTTGTACGACTACGAGTGTTAACTTGAATGGTAATATGGGGTGCATCGTGTGGGAAAGCTGGATAAAGCACCCATAGTTACATGGTTTAATTATATGAAAGCAATTTTGTATTTTAAGTTTGCCTATGCGGTTTACATGTTAAAAGATCTAGTTGAAAGGAAAGGCGATAATGTTGACATCCATTTTATGTATGACATATGCTGCATCTTCAAAAAACATGTTGAAGTATGCTTAATGCTTTTACTATATTAGTAACTCAATGACTATTTAAATTTCTTTTGTTGCTATAGTAGGTGATATTTTTACCTACGCTTGTACGCCGGTACATAGTTTTGAAATGATCCTTAGTTAAATAACTTTTCTGCGATATTTTTGATAGAAACAGAATTGATTTGACCTTTTGAACAGCGTAAAGCTTGCTTGTCCGCAATTTCATGTATACGGCCATGGTGTGACTTGCCAGGTAGGTTACTATCTCAAAATGTATCATTTTAGAAAATGTCTCGTATCAATTTTAAATTTCTCCAATATCTGTATAGTTAATGTACAGTCCAAGACGTCTAGAAGGGCGGGGGATGGTCGACGGTGAAGTTCTCGAAAGGCTTTGGTCTTACCTATGTTTATTCAGGAAAATGACGAAAGAAATGACTGCAAGCCATCGGGAGGACATACTGTCGGACGCATTGTATTTTTACGCGAAGAAGAAAAAATCGAGAATCAGTACGAGTAAATTAATTATTTTTATATTTCTGGTATCACATGCTGAGATAACCTGACATATCAGAAATTATCATTATATTTAGGGTATTTTTTTTAATTTAGTACTCTTACTTAAAGCCCAAAAGCAGCGTTGCGCAGAGCTTCGTGTGATGGTAAATGAAGAGATTAACCAGCTACAAATGAATTCGTCAGGTAAATATGTTATAGAAGATATTATAGATTCCTTCTTGAAAGAAATTTTTTAAATTAAATAGTAACATAAGGTAGTATATAAACCAGATGTTACGCAGCCAAATACTATTACATGCAATTTTATTTTATGGCTCTTCTAAACACTTTGTTACTGTAAACCTTGCCCTTGATATTTTTCTTGAAAGTTTGTTTTACATTTGGACTGTTACTTGTATGAAATCTTTCAATTTCGACTATAGTTCCAATTACAAATGCAATGATTGATTAGTGGAAACAGCAGGAAAGTGATCTTATTAGAAAATCCAAGCCTGATGAAGGTTAATGATCAAAAAGATTTTTTTTCTTTTCACTTCAATAATATTCCTTTCTAGATAATTTGTATACGGTATATTAATAATAACTATATTAATTTGCTGTTTCTACTGGTAAAAACAGACATATGCATGATTTTCGTTTCTTTAGTTGATTTAGGCACACACGGTTAGATTTTAAAATATTTTTCAGTATTACGTCAATACTACTCTCTAAGGTAAACAATGGAGTCAATTTTCTCTTTAAATGAAAGCCTATAAAAAGGATTAAGCATAAGTTTGTGCAAGATGAGAGATTTTGCATTTTTCAATATAAATGCTATACCAAAATCAAACTCATGCTTCTTTCTTTAGAAACAAACTTGCTGATAGTGGTTGGAATGATCAGTCACCCAATGATGACACTCTCATGAACAGGTTGTTTACAAATTACGAGCGTAATCACACTTCTATTTGACAAAAAATCATGAAAAAAGTCTGCCATAAACTCATAATTGACTTAAATAGCTACGTTATGTTTACCGGTATTTGTTATAGTCTAAATTCTCGTTTAACAAAAATGGAGCGAGAGTATCAGGTAAATAAACGCTGGGGCCTGACGGATCCGCAGTATATTTCGTCGTTTGTTATGCAAGAAGCGGTGAAAGCCAAACAAACAAAGGAGATGCTTTTGGTTTCTGGCAGAAGAAGATGGTTTCTCTTGTTGCTTAAAAGAAAGTATTCTGGTATTTCTCTGTTTATTGAGTTATGATGATTTGAATGATGAGTTATGACGTTGCAATCGTTATTGTGGAAATTTGTAGTTGCAGCCATGACAAACTGTATGTGTATTTCGTTTCAGAGGGGCAAAAACAAGCAAAAAGACTTGCGAGAAGCGTAACAACAGAAAGCGCAAATCTGCGAAAACTTTTAAAGCAATACAATTCATCGGTGGAAATATTGCGTCAGCATGGCCGGGCAGAATTGGCTGTGTTAACTTGGGAAACTGCAAGTGATGTCAGTAGTTCCATTTACAGCATCAATTTTTCCAACGCTGACAACATACCGCTTTCTATTAAAAGGAATGCCGTCGACGCAATGAACATGATAGCAAGGGTTTCAGAGGAAGAACAGCACTTGTTGGTCGAAATGGAAAACAGCATCAAATCATTGCACACTTCATGCGTTAAACGAAGGGATATACAAATTGCAATTTACTGATGATCTGGACGTTAATATTATAGACGGAAATAAAGGAATTTATTCTCTTCAGTCCAAAGCGCTTCATGAAGACCAAGTAAACTTAGGTGTTGCATGTAATCTTTTTAAAAATTTCATTGTGTTACCAAGTGAAATTGTGAACTATAGGGAACAGCATATTGATGTGAAAGATGATTACATTATTGATATCGACAGTGATGATGACGATGCTGAAACTGAAGATGTCGATGCTGAGACTGACGATGAGAGTGAACTTCTGGTTTAAATTTCTTGCTGAACTTAAAACTGTATTATATATATAACAACGACAATTGTAATTATGAAAATAGGAACTCGTTATATGTAAACTCATTTATCTGTCGATTTTACTTGGTAGATTGTCGCTGTTGATATATACCTGGAGAACTTAATTTTGACGTCACATAATAAAATAGGCAATAGTTAGTATAATAGTTACTACAGTAACAAAATAAACCATGACTGGAAGTTAACGGCTGGTTCGATTCCAGCCCATGGTATTGTGGTAAGATTGGGATACGTTTTTGCTTTCAAGTCCAATATATAAGATTATATTAGAGGCATCAGGCATTTTGGCCATGACTGAGACCAAAGTAAGAAGAATAAAATATCTCATTCTAATAATTCAATCACAAGTTTTTATCACCGAAATAAACTGTTTTACAAATTTTCAGCCAATTTCATAAAGTTTTTCCTATGTTGGTAAAATACGTTTTTGCTTTCAAGTCCAATATAAGATTATATTAGAGGCATCAGGCATTTTGGCCATGACTGAGACCAAAGTAAGAAGAATAAAATATCTCATTCTAATAATTCAATCACAAGTTTTTATCACCGAAATAAACTGTTTTACAAATTTTCAGCCAATTTCATAAAGTTTTTCCTATGTTGGTAAAATACGTTTTTGCTTTCAAGTCCAATATAAGATTATATTAGAGGCATCAGGCAGTTTGGCCATGACTGAGACCAAAGTAAGAAGAATAAAATATCTCATTCTAATAATTCAATCACAAGTTTTTATCACCGAAATAAACTGTTTTACAAATTTTCAGCCAATTTCATAAAGTTTTTCCTATGTTGGAAAATACGTTTTTGCTTTCAAGTCCAATATAAGATTATATTAGAGGCATCAGGCAGTTTGGCCATGACTGAGACCAAAGTAAGAAGAATAAAATATCTCATTCTAATAATTCAATCACAAGTTTTTATCACCGAAATAAACTGTTTTACAAATTTTCAGCCAATTTCATAAAGTTTTTCCTATGTTGGTAAAATACGTTTTTGCTTTCAAGTCCAATATAAGATTATATTAGAGGCATCAGGCATTTTGGCCATGACTGAGACCAAAGTAAGAAGAATAAAATATCTCATTCTAATAATTCAATCACAAGTTTTTATCACCGAAATAAACTGTTTTACAAATTTTCAGCCAATTTCATAAAGTTTTTCCTATGTTGGTAAAATACGTTTTTGCTTTCAAGTCCAATATAAGATTATATTAGAGGCATCAGGCATTTTGGCCATGACTGAGACCAAAGTAAGAAGAATAAAATATCTCATTCTAATAATTCAATCACAAGTTTTTATCACCGAAATAAACTGTTTTACAAATTTTCAGCCAATTTCATAAAGTTTTTCCTATGTTGGTAAAATACGTTTTTGCTTTCAAGTCCAATATAAGATTATATTAGAGGCATCAGGCAGTTTGGCCATGACTGAGACCAAAGTAAGAAGAATAAAATATCTCATTCTAATAATTCAATCACAAGTTTTTATCACCGAAATAAACTGTTTTACAAATTTTCAGCCAATTTCATAAAGTTTTTTCTATGTTGGAAAATACGTTTTTGCTTTCAAGTCCAATATAAGATTATATTAGAGGCATCAGGCAGTTTGGCCATGACTGAGACCAAAGTAGGTTTAAGTTTTATCTGTTGCTAAATGTTCCTAAATGTTTTTAGGTTGGTATAAAATGGTAGAAACAATTGGTAACTTAAACTTCGGGGCTGGACTGAAAAAGTCGAAATTCAAAAACTTTTTTTCTTAAACATTTTTAGTCTTACATGTGCATGAACATTGAAAAGGCAAATATCATGTCTGCAAAAGATGAGGCATGCACCTTTCTTAGTTATGATGTAGGGCTTCTATATTTGTTGTGTTTTTTTTGAAACCAAATCACGGAAAGAACAGTATAAGAAACTCAAAAGACTGGGCCTAGCATTGGCGCCGCCCACAGGGAACTAACAGGCATCCGATTAGAATTCGACCTGTATGGACAGACTTTCGCGATACTTTGAGTTTTTGTCCAATTTTTTCCTAAAGCCCACGCTCCGGAGGGAAATATCTGTATTCCCCAACCTCTGTACTTGATTGTGGCTGCCAAATCTATTTGGTCATTTAAATGTATATTTACAGGAAATGAACCGTGTGTTGGACTCGAACCAACACTAAGTCAACCTGACACAGTATATTAACTTTCCCCTCAAATATACATTTAAAAAATGACAAATAATTTTTGGAAACTGGATAATTGATATTAAAGGATTGAAAAAATAGAAAATGCGATTGTGGAACAAAAAATCAATTTATATCTACTAGTATTGAAGCAATTTTAAAATCTAAATATTTACACATCACAATATTCTGATTGTCAACGTTAATTCTTAACAGGCTTTAAAAAGGCCTTTGGCCAAGCGACAAAACTTCCATTCTCTACTAAATTGGAGTGGGTCGGAAAGTCGGACCACGGCTTGATATCCGGAGCAATATCTTGCACCATAATTGGCACCCACCCATAGGTAAGCTGGCGGCCATGAACCTCTTCTTGAGCCGTAACAACACCTTTTCCCACCGTTTTTCCATCCGCACTGACGATTTCAACTGCTTTACCTACAATGGTAAAATTTTAGTTTATATATAAACGATTAAACTTATGTTGCTGTCAAGGTGAATACACGTGACTCCTGCTACTTTTGATTAAATTGTTATACCGTGGCAATGAATTTTTTCCCTAACCAAAATTTACATAAAATAAAGCATTTAGTTATAAGCATTTAGACAACTTTAATCTAAGCTCAGACATACCAATCTCCACACTCGTTTCAGGAGCATGGGCCGATTTATCCGGGTCTAGGAATATCAAAAATTAAATTATTTAAATAAAAAAGGTCGCGACACATGCATGGCCAATCATTCTTGATTCAGTAAAAAAGTTTGTGGAATTAAAACAATATAGATGCTTATTTACATCTATGCATGTACATATACACTCAAAACTATGATCTACTTCACCCAGTCTTAACCCAGTTACAACTTCAATACAGTATCACTCAAGTTGTAGAAACTCGTAATTGGAGACTTATCCCTGATGGTGATACGGGCCATTGTGTTCATTTATATGCACTTGTTTATCATGGCATATTTATAAAATAAAATAAATAAATAAAATGAAACTGCGCGAGTGAGATACTATCTAAAGATAAACCTTAAAATCCATTAAGATATAGCTAGCTCAACAACTACAGCTAGCTAGAAAAAAAGCGATAGGAAAAAAGCTCGTTCGTACAAATTACCAGAAATCTCAGGACAACTTGGCTGTGTCTGTGACTTGGTTACATCTGAAAAATAATTTAGATTTTAGTAAGTGATTTACTCACAAAAATATAATATTTGTTCCAGCTCTTGCTTTCAGATATTATTAGCTGTACATTAAAAAGCTTTACAGAGCCGCACTATTAATTTTACCAACGGTTTCTCTCTTTTGTTTGTAACGTCGTTTCTGTCCACCAGTTACTGCCTGCATTTGTGATCGAGCTATAATAACCAAAATTAAAGGCATCAGATTGTCACACCCTAATATAATGATAAGATCTCTTTTGACTGAACGTTGTATAAGAAATGGAGGTTACCTATTTTGTTTACCATCTTCGACACGACATAATTAGTGAAAACACCGTCGTCAGCAAGATCAACCATCTGTGGCGAATAAAGGCGCTCTGGAACTTTCCCTCCATATCCCAACCAGATAGATGGGCAACCCAACTCATCAAGCTGTTTCATCTAATATGATTAATTATCACCGTAAATGATCGTATAATTTTAAGAATTGTTAATTTGGTGTAGTCAAAAAAGTTGCTTGCTTGTTAATTCACTAAAGGTTACTTGTGTACAATGGTGTTGATCTGATTATTTTTGATATAATTTGTACTGTAGCCAGTCCTTTAAACTTTTTTTTAACACGGTGGTTCATTCAGCTGGCCATACTATCACGTTTTTTGCTTTAACCAGATATTATTGAAACAAACTGAAAAACCACCCAAAATATATGATATATATAATCTTACATTTGTTTCTATATTTGCTATGATTCTCTTAACCATTCTTTCCTTGCTAATTGAACCCGAGGTCAAAAGGTTTTCATTTGCATTTGCAGCAAGTCCCTCAAATTCAAGTCTTTCATCTTGACTTAGATTTTGGTATGCCTCATTTCCTCGCCTTTGAATTTCAGCATAACTAACACCTTCATTTCTCAGTTTCCTAACTAACAGTAAGATTGGATATATAAAATTAAACTATAAATAGCCATTTCCCGTGTGATGAAAATCCTGACAAAGTCTGAACTTATGTTATAACATTAAGTGGTTTTTGTGGCTACATGTACCTACTTTAGGCATGCAGTATAGCCGAAGCAATGTTTTGTTTTATCAAAAACACTGCCACATTGCAACAATGTTATCTTAAGCCGCATTTACACTTCAGGCCAAGACCTGGCCTGGACCATGTTCACACTGTCTTCCTTGAGTTGAAAATTTGTCAGGACTAGGTAATTAAACCCTGTTCACATTACCAAAATCTTACCCCAGGTCAGGTCCAGGCCTGGTCAAGGCCACCTTCTGCTGTTGGCCCGGATAAACAACGTTCACATCTAAGCCTATAGGCCTGGTCCAGGCCAGGTCAAAGCACCTAGTGTAAACGCGGCTTTAGATGGTCTACAGTACATAAGTGTATAATGGAGGTTTAGACCTAGTTACCGAGGCTATTTCTAATATTTACATGTACCTTCTTCACTTGCAAGAAATTTACTTTTGAACACGCTGTATGCTGACTTCCTGCGAATTTTGCTGGGGAGATTTTCCTTAGGCTCTCTTTCGCCTCTTTTTATTGCCATTCCCCTGGCATGCTTTTGATTTCCAATCCAATTCTAAAAATTTCAAATACACCTCCACCTTAATGAACTTTTGAATTAACTTGAATAACTTTATTAAACCACCTATGTTAACCTGAATGAAACCAAATCAATTGTTCTAGAGAAACATGTGTATTGCGATATTATCAAAACTCTGGTGTATAATTAAATACAATATAAAAAATTTTTTTGGAGCAAGTCTTGAACATAAGGGTTTTTATGTCAGTAAGTAAGGTAGAACACCTATATAAGGATTAAAATCTCATGCATGAAATTCTCACTGTATTACTAGCTGTTTTCACTGCTGACCTTATATGATATATAGTCAGTAGAGCAGCCAATGAGATTGCAATTACAGCTCATATACTGTGAGTTGCTATATATCATATACATATCATATTGCTATATATCATATGGATGATATATATCATATTATATATCTCATTATATATTGTATATGAAATGATGAGATATATAATGTATATGATATAGCATGGTACATGGGTTGTAATGCAATCTGATTGGCTGATATATTATATATCACATATAAAGTCAGCAATGAAAGCAGCTATTAATACAGTGAGAATTTCAGAGATGATACTTTGATCTTTATATATAGGTATTTTACCTTAATTACAATTTAAATATACTCACATAAAAACCCTTATGTTCAAGATGTGCTCCCAAAATTATCTTTTTTATATGGTATTTTAGAATTACACCAGAGTCCTGACAATGGCAATATACACTTACATCAACATGTTTCTCATAGAACCATTCATTCAGTTTTTTTTGGCCTTAAAAAATGAAGAAAAATAAATTTAAATAAAACAACTTTTAGCATTCCACTGGAAATAACCTACATCATAATCTTAGAATATTAGCAATTAATATTTGACCTTAATCACTTGCTCATCAAGACCAGTCATGTCTACTGCCTTTTTTAAAAGGTCCTTCCTTTTCAATGTTGTCATTCCTTCCTCCCACAAATTTGATAACTTCTCTTTTTGTTCACTGCTTAAATAACACCGAGAAGACATCTAGAAAAGAAAATATTACATATTTATTATCATCACACCTGATCAAGTACCTGAGACCATTTAGCATCACAATAAAATGTTTTTGCATTTTTCAATTGACAACTGTTTTCTCTGCTAATTCCCAAAACTACTTACTTTCACTTACAAAATACTTCCCATCCTATGCCTGAGTGCAAAGTTACAAAATCACAGTATGTGATTCTACATGAATTTTGTGAAATTGTGGATATAGGTGGTTTGCCGCAATTATTTTTTCATTGTTGCTGTGTATTTTAATACCCACCCAATAATACGGCAAAGATGATAAGCAATTACAAAATAAACAAGAAAAAAGTAAATCAATGCAGTTTGTCCTCTTGAGAAGCAGAAGTAAACTTTGTAGAATCAACCAAGATGGTGCCTAATGACTGATTATGATGTCATATGCAAACCAAGAATATTAATAAAATAATTGTCCTTTTTTTTGTAAGTATTCTAGTATGCACAACCATATGATACAACCATATGATACAACCAATCAATACAGGTATAGCAGCCAAAAATGTGTGTATGCCATCAATGTTTATCATCCTATATTGGGCTGCCTATGATACAATACAGCTCACAGTCCTAAAAAAACAGGGACTGAATGATATCCCAGCTAAAAGCACAAAGTTTGTAACCTTGGTTTTACTTGTCACATAATTTTAAAGCTGTACAGTACATGTACATATTAACAGTTAACTTGAGTTCTCCACTATATATAGTTCAAACAAAACATGTGTGGACATTATTACCAATCTGCATGATTAGATTCATCTTAATGTCTGTGTTGCTTTTGTGTGTTCTTTCGATATTGTATAAATTACTCCACACACCATACACAGCACACAGTAGCCAACGTTCCATATTTTTAGTCGGCGTTCTTGAGAATTTTAAATTAAAATACACTAATTTATAACAGTAGATTTATTCCAAATGAAGGACAAAAACTGTTTAGTCGATATAACTATACATATAGCTTTAAAAAGTTTATCCATACTGCCTGTATTTCAAAATAAACGCAACAAATATTAGAGTGGTATTAAAATGAATAATTCATTAGCGCCTAAAAATAGCCCTCTTGAGGGCTAAAATGAATTATTCATTTATTAAACTTGGACGGGCATATAACGCTACTCATCTCACTTTTTCTCACCTTTATTTCTCCAAATTTTGCGTATATTGTAAAAACAGAATCCTATAGAATTTTATCGTTTTCAAGTTTCGTGTTTTCAGATCCTACGCGTACGCAATAATGGATATACAAGTGTACCGTGGTGTATACACCTGTGGTACACACATGTATCAAATTGTACCTACAATAGCTTAACAATTCCCAGTAACTTACTGGATATAATGTATTTATAATATATAGTAATTTACTGTATACAACGTTCGGATTGGGTGTTGTTCCAGACTTCCAGCTGTTCCAAAAACAGTGTTCCAAACCACTCCATACTACAAATCTTCGGTGCATTTTTCCACTGATTTGTTCTATTGAAGGATACTTAAAATTTTGGGCAAAGCAGAAAATAAAATTTCGGAATGTCGAACGAAACGGATGGCCAATCGTCAAAACGTATAAAACTTGAGGATGGTTCTTCAATGCCAGTAACAAATCCAGAGAATCCACATTATTCGCCGCCATCGAAAGTTGTCCATGTTCGCGGAGTAGCCGAGGGTGCAAGAGATATGGATATCGTTCAATCTCTTAAAGAATTTGGTAGAATAACGTGAGTAACCCCTTGCTAATTACCTTACTACCATGTTTATGTACGATTTACATGTATGTTGGTGACCAAGAGAGACCGGTTCAATTGTTCAAAGATTGATTAGCGCTATATTTATAAAACATGTGTTTGTCTATTTGAGAAGATTATTCTATCCAGGGTTAAATTTCGACCTGCTGTTTTTGTTTATGTATTTGTGGATGTCTATTCAGACTTTTGATAACAAAATCTCTATTGAATCAGGAAATATTTTCAAGAACTTGTTGAACTTGAGAAATATACTGTTAAAAAGGTTAGGCCAAGCTTTTCCTGAGTTTTGAACAATAGACCACTATATCAATCAATTTTGATCAATAAAGGAAGATGGCCCGATCCTGAAAGTAGGGTAATTGTCACTAGATTGTTGATTATAATCTTGATCAATATTTTTATCCCTGATATAAATTTCGCTTGCTTCAAATATTTAATTGCAGGGGTTTCATTATTTTTGAAAGTAGCAGGCGCATTTAGGAAAGTAGGCGGCAGGGCTAGCAGCGCCATTTGTTAGGGGGGGGGGAGAGGAGGTCATTGTCCGCAATTTTCAGATAAACATTGTAATTAATATTTACTTTCACTATTTCAAGATGGCGGACAAGTGAAAAAATTGTCATCCTACGTGAATAACAAGGCAATTTTAAAACACTAAATAATCTTCACAACTTTGAATTGACCACGTATTTGATATGGTAATTGCTATCTAAATACACCAATTTAAAACTTTCTATTAAAACTGAAAATTTTAATACACGATACAAGGTAGCCTGCGGTGATATTGAAAGTAGCCGGCGAAAATCGCCGGTTGCTGGCTTCTAATGAAACCCCTGTTAATTGCATCTTTGTAACAAGGATTGTTAACAAACTTGCTGTATTTGAAAGAATTACAAATTGTGGATTTGAGACCATATTTCTAAGAAATTTCTGAAAAATGTAATGAACTTTATAAATATGATACAAAATTAACAAGGATTGTTAACAAACTTGCTATGTTTAAAAGAATTACAAATTGTGGATTTGAGACCATATGTCTAAGAAATTTCTGAAAAATGTTATGAACTTTATAAATATGATACAAAATTTAAAAAAAAAATGTAGGTATACTATTAATTCTCCATACTGCATGTTCTTACTCTGTTATGTCAAACCTAAATCTGTAGCCCATCTAAATGTCCCGAAATTTACAAAACAAGTTAAAAGAACTTTTTTTTAACACGATTGTGCACATTATTAGCCAACTCATTTGTAAACATTTCATCATCACACCGGCTATATTTATTGTGATTTATGCAATATATTAGTTTGCAATAATTCACTATCATTCAATAAAGATACAAAATGGGTTAGCTGCACAGCTATATGTAGTGTTCAAATTTCTAGCTATATCCTCTAGCTAGCAGTATTTGAGGTGCCACATAAAGCATCCTGTAGTGAGCGATGAGGTTATGTGTGTTCAAAAAGTTGCTGCAGATACAAGATTTATTTGGCCTGCACCAGGGATTTCAACCAATACAGATTGATAAAAGAAAATAACAGTGAATAATAAAATGTATATTAATATCTTAAACATGGAAAATTGACAGCCTTATTTTAAATAAAAGGTATCAGACTCCATTGTGTAATATAAAAGTGTACAAAATTTGCTATCTTCATTAATAGGCTATAATTGCCACATTTTATAATATTTTGCTTCCTAACATTTTGTGTTTACTAAAATGTTGGACTCTGCTTCCATTTAATTGTTGCTATATATATAAATCACTTTAGTTGTATAAAGCTGATTCAAAAAAAGAGGCAAGCACTGGTTGAATTTGATGACATTGAAAGTGCTAAAAATCTGGTAGAACATTCACAGGTATTTTAATAATGCTTTTGTTGCTTCATTAATGAAAGATGGCTCTTTTCTAGAAGCCTTTTTTCTTAAACTCTTTATACTTTTAATCCATATTTTTGAAAATAAATGGTAAAGTTGGCTTTAACATGGAAGTAAGATCCCCACTGTAAATCATGTCCCTTAAGCTTTGTTTTTATCGTAAAGTTTTATATTTAAAAAGACATTAGATAGGGAAACCTGTATATTATACACACACCCATTTTGGGCAGATATCATGCAGGTCGAACTATTTCATGTCAGTCTTTCTAATTTTAATTTTGTTATTATAATTGTTAACCAAAGTCTGTAGATCAAATTTATATTTAATTTTTCCTTACCAGTTAAGGACTGATTACTGGAAACTGAAAGCTCATGTCTCAATAACCTTATTGATGAAATCATGGTTACACATTTTTTTTTTTATACACTCTGTTATTTGTTCCTATAGCGTTATTAATTTTCTAAGCTCCTTTTTTTAAAATTTTTAAATTGTTTTGCACAGACAGAAAAAGTGAGTATTTGTGGAAGGTTTGCTTTTTTCAATTTCTCAAAGAGCCAGGAAATTACCAGGTATGAAGTTGTTGTCCTGCTTCTTGGCTGATAGTTATATTGGAAGAACCCCTTTTTCTCCTTAAGTGCATAATAATGAACTTTGTTTTGATGTCTACTGTTTTTTCTTGAATACCTATATTTATAATTTAGGCATGGGAATGAACCAAATTATGATGAAATGTTAAATTCTGCTGGCAATATTCTACTTCTGACTATTCTCAATGCTCAATATGGAGTCACAACTGTTAGTATGATTTCAGTCACTTTTGAATCTAGAAATGTGAAATTCAACCATTTTTCTTAAAGCTTGATTCAGCTGTCCCAACCAGTACCCTGCTTTTTTCCCATTTTGCTCATGAAATCTGTTGTGTAGATTTCCTGGTTTTCAGGCGAAACCTTATTTCCTTTTGACCTATTTACTACTATCCATCCCTGCATCAGAGAAAATGTAGTAGGCACCATGTTTTAACTATTGCCGCAGTAAGATCAATTGCAAATACATTTCTTTAAGATATTTAAATATTTTTCATGTTTGTGCTTGCATCTTGTATTGATATAGCATGCAAAATATAAGACAATAGATCACTCACCTGATCAGGGAAAATGGATCGTTAATAAGCTAGCTAGCCCAGCTGGTTATCAGGGTCGAAACTAGCGCGATAATTGGGGGGGAGTGGAATATTCATATATTCTATTTTCCCCCTACGGATATCTTTTGTATGCATACTTGTTTTCTGGCAAAAGAAATTCGTTGGGCAGAACGGAATATATGAATATTCAACCCCCCACCCCACCCCCCACCCGAACTATCTCGCTAGTTTGCCCCTGGAGATCATTGCAAGAATAATGCACAAAATGTAAGTCATTTGGAATTTGTGGGTCTAGCCAAAGGCTGAAGGCACTAGCGTCAATGCCTTTGTTTTCCTCCCTTTAGTGGTTTGCAAAACGACCTTGCATCCATAACAGCAAGATTTAATAACAAGCTGAATAACACTTTTTTCTTTAGAGCAACTTACATGAAGTGTTTCAGGGATACGGTTTCATTCAAAGGATTGTAATATTTCAAAAATATGGTCAGTTACAGGCTATGGTTGAGTATCCTTTGAAGTGCTTAGGGTGATCAGTGTATTTTAAAAATCTCAAAAATAACTTCGGAACAGTGGCGTAGCCAGCCTGACGATTTTGTCCCGCTATGTAAATTTCCAGTTATCATAATTACTCATGTCTTTAGAAATTTATTGTTTTCACAGTCAGTGAACACTAAAATATTAACATAGCGGGACAAATCGACAGGCTGGCTACGCTACTGCTTCGGAACTATTGGTATTTACTGAAAACATACGGTATTGTCGATGTAAATTTCAAACATAGCGTGCTGTGTTTGCTTCTAACACAGCAAGAAAGAGCAAATGTTTACTGTTTGTAGGATATCATTTTTGAGGATCTCGTGACATCACGATTGACGGGGCTTCTTAGACTTAGTGGTTCACACACACGGAGCCAAATACATTTTGCTTCGTTTTATATTTACTTAAAGAAGCCTAATATAATGCTGGCAACCAATTTTCATTTTATATGTATTGGATGGTTCTTGCTAAATTAAGAATGATTTGACAGCCAAATAAATTCAAATGAGTACTCGCGTGTTGCTTGCAACAATGAAATCGTGGAATGCTACGTATATATTAGGAAGGACGGTCTATTGAAGTTGGATTACATTGTTTATAGATGTACATAAAATGATAGTTTGCCAAGTCTATAAATAAGAGTAGCTCTTCGTTTAAAGGAATAAAGGTACACCTTAACACGTTTATGCCTGGTTTTCATGTCGTAATTCATCAGCGATGTTCTACGATTGCTTGTTCATGCATGATAACTAGTAAAATAGATAATTTTTTCGATAGGCAAAGCATTTTCTGCATCGATGACCACCGAATAGCCCCGTCGCTTATGAATCACAATAAAATTATATGAAAACCAGGCTTTAACACGATTTATAGTGAACGTAGCGGGAGAAAGTTTGGTCCACCAAAAAATACTTTTGGCAACAAGAAATAGAAGTGGGAAAAAAGCATGTAAAATTAGTTTTATTGATCCTTAAGTATCTATACTAAGATTTGATAACCCAACATCTGCACAACAAGCAAAAGATGCTCTGGATGGTTGGGATCTTTATGAGGGATTTAACACTCTGAAAATTGAATATTCAAATGTAAGTAATGTGTAATCTGGCCTGACCTGCATGGTGTGGTACGAGTTTTGTACGTATTTTTACGAGCGCCGGAAAGGTCGAGTTATAAGTTTCGAGGAACGAATGAAACTCTAGGCCGGACTACACGGTAACCCATTCAAAAAGGTTTTTACTATTATTTTCTGCAATTTTGAAGCAACAAAAATGTTTTTCTTTGCCTGAACCATGGCAACCCAAAATTGATAATTTTAGATCAATTATAGACATAATACAATTATTATAGACTTTGCGAAAGATAAACAGGATTTCCACCCTTAATTATAAATGGCGTTGCTGTTGAACGTGAATCATCAGCCCAGATCCTGGTTCAGCATATAGGAAATATGAATTGGAACGAACTTGTAAACAATATTGTTAAAAAAGAAGGAAAAAGGTTCTATATGTTGAGAGTGCTGAAACGATCAAACGCAGATACGAACGCGTTAATCACAGTGTACACTACTATTATAAGACCCTGTCCTTGAATACGCTTGTCAAGTTTTGGCACTTTAATATCCAGGAGTATTTGAATGAAGACGTTGAAAAAACTCAGCGGCGCGCTTTGCGAATCATGTTGCCATCAATGAGTTATAGAGAAGCCCGTAATTTTACTGGTATTCCTTTACTAAAAGTAAGGAGAGAAATATTATGTGAACAATTCTTCCAAAAGAATGAGAACAATGATAAATTGAGCGAACTTTTGCACTATAAAGCTCTAACAGACTATGATATGCCACCAAGATGTAAGTATTAAAATTTTCTATGTAGAACTGAACGTTTCAGTAAATTATTTTCTCCTCAAATGATTTCTAAAGAGAACTGTAAATAATCGTTTTGGACTTTGATAATCCCTGTACTTTTTATACTTTTGATAATTTTTTTATAATGATAAATTAGTATTTTTAAATTGTAAAAATAGACTTATATGAATAAAAATAGACTGACATGTAATTTCACCTACCAGTTACAAAATCAGTTCTCTATACTATTAAACTATAATTAATAATCCTTTCATACGTTACTCTATTTGTCGCGCGATTGCTTGATTCCGCAGAGGTAAAAAATATTACTCACCCTAAATTTCATATTCAAAACACCTTAGTAAAAATACGATAATGTTTTTTTATTTCTAAAGAATTGTTTTACATAAAAATCTACCAATATATGATTCCAAGTTAGAGCTGTATAGTAATTTCCTCTGGCTTACTCTGGATCCGCCACTGTATATCGCAAAGGTTTGAAACACTAACAAACATTCAGTTCATAATTTTTGGACAAGAATATGACGAAACGTTGTCACTTAGGAAGGAATGTTGCCAACCATTGCATGTTTTGATGCTTACTAGTTTGCACAGAGCTTATGCAAGAGTTCACCGCACTTTATTTACACGCGGTGCCGTCAAGATGTTTGTTGTTATTTCGTCTTAATTTCCTTTTGTTTGAATGCATGGTTACTATTAATTTGTTTCTTTAGGTACCTAAATTGAATGTTTTCAAGAATGATCATGAAACATGGGATTACACACGGCCAGCAATGGGTATGTTAAAATATCTATATCAGCGTATCAAATTAATTGAATAACTAATCAACCTTTTTTATATCACGTTCGCATATATATGATGTCAACTAAAACTTGTTTTGTTGTCGATTTGCTGACGCCACTCGGAGTTCGGGCCTTGCATGCACGTCTCAACGCATCTCAACGGTTTTCAAGTTCCATATAAAGTTGCCAATCACATTCTATATATCGACGTTTCCGGCTGGACTTCGTTTCCAACTTTCTATATGTTCAATTTGGATTTCATATATAGATTTATATATTTATTATTTATTTTATGAATTATTATACTCATGCAGTCCCTTTAATTACTAAAGAAAGGGAACACAAAGACGACCCTAAATAATTGGCGCGCGTAGTCCTATCGTTGGCAAATATTTCATACGTTTTATATGCATGCACTATATACAATTCTGCACGTTTTTTATACCCATTCGTTTTTATGAACCTTTCGCTTTAGAAAATCATTTTTATGCTAACAATTTTTAATCTTTAGATGGGGCTTGATTGTAGGTTTCTTGTGAAGTATGGGCTCACCGATACGTTTTAGTCTAGTGCGAACGTTTGCCAACTTTTAGCATTGTACTGAGGTGTTGTGTGGAGTTTCTGTCCATTGGCAAACTATGGAAATGGAACGTTTTCGTTCTCCAAGGTATCTGTAAGTTTGTAAACTGTTCGTAGCTGCAAGAACAAGACATTGAACATGGCTAATCCTCATACACACAGAACAGCAGTGCATTTCAAGGATCATGGTTCAATCAAGGATTATTATTGCAGACTACAATGCCAGAACACTTCACAAGCTCAAACACAAAAAAGAATAAGCACAACATGCCTGTTCCACGTCGTTTCCGTCGACATACACATTTGGAGATTCTGCGCATGAAGATTGCATTATTCAATTTCTCCGCACAAGCCACCTACGTTTTAGATCCTGACACGTGCAAATCATTATCTATCAAAATTCTCACAGTGAATTTTACCGGTGGATTGAGCACGCATCGGTGCATACAAAGCATGTCACTTTGATATGTATACATCTTTGCTTACATTTCGCAAACTTTTTTTCTTATATCAACGTTGAAAATAGCTCTATTCCCAAGTTTTGACAGGAAAAGATGCAACAAAATACCGCGTAACAGCCATCTATTATATATGTTAATAAAAGAAAAGAAGAAAGCATTCTGATCATTACAGTTGGCAATAATTCCCCTTACAAGCTATAGAGGAACACCGATGCAACAAACTATATGCTTATCACACAAGTTACAAACGTGTCATTCTGATCAATGTTATTGGTAATTGGTAACACAATTCCATTGATAACCTTTAGAAGAACACCGATGCATTAAAATACAGTGCAACAGCATATTACACATGTTCAAAAAGTACCTACCATTCTGGAGAACATCATTGGCAATAATCCAAGTCACAAGCTATACATAAAGGAACGCACCGGTGTAAAATGCAGCACCTCAATGCACACGTAATATTCTGATCAACCAAAATGGCAGTAGTTCTGTTCACAACCTAGAAAGCAACACTATTCCATGCAACAAAGTACAAATGCAACATCTTATTAAACTTGAAACGTCATTGGCATAAAATTACGTATCGCTGTGGCGATAATTCTGTTTGAAACGTAAGAGAGCACAGATGTCAAAAAGTGCTTATACAGTGCAACACGTGTCCGAATGTAAAGGACGTGGTATGATTCCAATCACTCTTATATGAATCATTTTGTGATCACGACCCAAAAATTTTTGTAGCTCTCATTATTACCGCAAACATTCGTTATATCCACTGGACTGGTCCACAGTCCGCACTTGACGGTTTATAGCTACTTGTCTGTATTATGCACGATGATCTCATGGAAACCATAAAATACCATCACAGGTCGCATAGCAATGCTCATCACACTATGCATTACCCTATAAACATAACCAAACTACAAACTAACAAGACGAATTTTCAACTCCGTCGCTGACGCCGGAGTAATAAAAGAATTAAAGTAGCGCTTGCGTTGTATAGACCCAAAATAATCCCTAGCACGTCAAATACACGTGTATACAGCCACTATACAATGTCAGATCAGTTAACTAGATTTGTTGGAAGGGTTATCTTAAGGTAAACAGCCACAGCCTACCTGAAGCTAAGACGTAGTTCATACGTCGCATTTTGATCGCGTCTAATGCAATTCAAAGAAGAGAAAATGAGATTGAGCATAAATATTGTAACTCATTATCTATTGTTTAAATTGCATTCGACGCGACCAATATGTGACGTATGCCTAGGCCTATACAGGGTGTATCAAAAAAACTGCAAATACCATAATTTGTATGCACTTTAGAATTTCAATGACTGTGCAACTAATTACGCTTCTGGGATCTTAGTTCTGTTCTTAACTGAGCCATTCGTAATCGAACTCATAAGTTTAAAGGCCGTTTTCCACTTCAACCGTATCGTAGCCAAACGTAGCGTATCTCATTGTTTTAAAGTCATTAGTTCTGGTCGAATACTTCGGAAACAAAGAAATACGCTACGTTACGTTACGATACGGTTGAAGTGGAAAACGGCCTTATTTCACTTTGTGTGTGCTGGTTTTGATAACCCTGGGAAACGTATTTTCAAATCCCAGAAGCGTAATTAGTTGCACAGTCATTGAAATTCTAATGTATAATCTCGTGCATACAAATTATGGTATTTGCAGTTTTTTTTATACACCCTGTACAGGGTGTCCCAAAAAAAACGCAACCACTTAAATATGCAAGAATATTAATATTGTTCGGGTTTGCACCATAGTTCAGCTAAAATGCCTTTTAGCATTGTAAATGAAGGATTAAGAGCCATTTTCAATTCCCAGAGGTGCTTATCTACAGGGTGTCCCAAAAAAAACGAAAACTATTGAAATCACTCATTGTTAAAATTTGAATGCCGTGTTCACGAATTTCAGCCCGTGGGGATTTAATGCAACTTATAAAATGCTAAATGCTTTGTGTTGCTAGAGAAAGGGGACATATCGAAGGTCATGGTCCTTGAGATGCACATTTAAATAATGTTATCCATATTTGTAAATTGTAAATATTGTTAATAAATATAATTTTTGCGAACAAGCAAATTTGATTGCATCATACGCATGCATAAAAATGCTTATGGCAACCCCGATTTATACACTTGTGGGCCCAACAGAGTGCTTGGGCATTCAAACTCTAACAATGGCATTGTTATGGGTGATTTCAATAGTTTTCGTTTTTTTTGGGACACCCTGTATTGCGCTTTAGAGCTGTATTAATGTTCTGCATATTTAAGTGTTGCTTTTTTTTTGGGACACCCTGTAGATCTGACCATGATTGATCTGACCAACTGGATGTCAATAGGGAGTTTATAATCTACAACACGGTCAGTTCGACGTCGCTAGTCAAATATTTTTCATGAAATAAGCTTCGGGAAGTTAATTATGCTGCCAGGACTTTGGAATAATCATACAAACGTTGATATTGTGCTTGGAACTCCGATGTCTAGCTGATATTGCAGTTCCATATAAGGTATCAAACAGCTATCACGTTGCAGAGTGGCCAATGTGGCTCTTGCAAACTGATGGCCAATTCGGCTATACGTTCATGATGTTAATGTTTAAATTAAAGGCGGGCTTACACCCGGTCCCTCTCTGGAAAATCCAAAGGAGCATCACATATATTACAGACATTGCACGTTCAATTTCGCACAACACAAGAAACTTCTATGCAAAGATATCAAAGCATATCAGTGGCGGAAATGCGTTACAAGGGGATATATTCCTCATATTTTGAGGACAGCAGCAGCAAGAGTCATGCCACATTTTTCACACAACTATAACCTTTCGTTTCGATATGGCCAGAAACAAACTGCCACGAGACACTTATGCAGGAGATGCAAAACCCTTTTGAAAGTTTAGCTTAGAGGTTGTCGAATGATTTTATTTTAATTATTTTAATTAATTTTTTAGACCAAATGCGAGGCCCAACAGGCCGTGGACGCGGCCTTCTTAGCCGTCCCTCTTACAACCCACCAGGTATGAATCCTGGTCCTCGAGGTCCTGGAATGATCTCAAGTCCTCGTCCAGGTTTTGGCCAAAGATCAGATTTCATGCATGGACCACGCGGTCCGATGGGTTCAGGGCCCGGGCCTACCGTCCTTATGGCGTATGGCTTCGATCCTGACAAGTTATCGTGTGAAGGAATCTTCAATTTGTTGTGTCCTTTTGGTAATGTAATGAAGGTAGGAATGGAGTATGCTCTCTGTTAATCGCTGATATTGAAATAAGCGATCGCATTAATAAGTTTGATAATGTTGTAATATATATAACGTATTAATATTGCGGAGTTGGAATAATTACCTAATTTTTGGTCAGTTAATTAACAAAACTTTACATGCATGTGTTCATCGTAGAATAGGCAGGGTATCAAAGTCTAGTTGGAACGGTGCAACTTGATAAATATTTCAGGGCCGGTTGTTCAAAAGCCGGTTAGCTTAACCCAGGGTTAATTCCAGTTTGCACGTCTATCTTTTTTAATTACTCGTTTATGAAGTTGAACATGTTTTTTCACAAATATTTTAAGGACTAATAGAAGTCTTATTTTGTAAAGTCTTAAAACAAACAGCGGTGTAGAAGCATATAAACCAAAACAGCGAAGTAAAATTTAACCCAGGGTTAGCGCTAACCTGGCTTTGAACAACCGGCCCCAGTTATTGTGAAAAGAAGCCAGGAAAGAATAACTTTTTTAGATAGAAAAGTCACATTAGTGAAATCCTGTGGCTAATCCAAAATCTGAGGAAAATGGACCACCCAATAAGGTGCATTGGTTCTTTGTTTTACCTTCGTATAGGTAAAGTTGATGTCAAGTAAACCAGGTTGTGCTATGGTGGAAATGGGTGACCATTCATCGTGTAACAACATCATCGAAAATTTAACTGGTTGTAAAGTGCTTGATAGCGAACTGAAATTCAGGTAAATCATCAGTGTGTTGCATATTAGTCATGCACATGGAGTAATTTTGTATAATACCTAACTATTCCAAACTATTTCTTTTGATATTTTTTTGCTAAAATAATATCGAAATATCGATAAGCCGATGTTTAAGAAAAACCGATACTGATCGATATTTAGATAGATATACTGCAAGTGCGCAACCGCCTATTTATATTCTGTGTGTAAGTGTAATTCCTATTCAAATTGTGCTTTGCTTCTCGATTCCTTCAAAATGTGTTTTTAAATAAAACCTAGTCAGATTTTACAAGCAAAATTAGATCCCAACTCTAATCGACAAAAATTTGTATTTTCATCACAAAATGTCGAATTTGAAGGTTGGGGAGTTGAAAAAATTTTGGTGGTGTTTGAGGAGCTAAGCCAAGCCATTGCTTTTGGTTAGTTGGGCAAAGTTGTATTGTACTTCCATCGAGTCTCCAAACCATGTATATTCTAATAACTGTGATTACACTCGATGGGCGTTACACTCTAACTGTGATTACACTCGATGGAAAACTAATTTAGCATTCAATATGTAATGTTTACAACACGAGCGGCCGTGTTGTATTGAATATACAATCAACAGCGCGCAAACAACTTGTGAAATAAATTTGTAATAAATAAGATTTAAATAAGATGCACTTGCAGTTACAAACACTAGTGGTTGTATTTTTATTTCAATTAGGATAATACCGTGATACAAAGCTAATTTTAAACCCTTCCGTTTTTTTCAAGTTTTTCAAAACAAACAAGCTTGACTTGTCCAGCAAATTATAACCCAAGTGTGGAGACCAGTTTTAAAGATTTCTACGACTCAAAACTACACAGGTATCATTACTGGTCGTCATACATATAGGCACTTGTAATGGCGGATGTGCATTCTCCGGAATGCATGCACAGAAAAACGCCAAATGATCATGAATTTGCTTGAACAGGTGCAACAAGGAAAAAACCTTTTGTTTTCATGATCTTCAAATGACGTCAATTTCCGATTGCTTTCATTCTGGTAAAGTGTACGTCGCCATAATTTCCCTAGAGGCATGAAAATTTGGCTAAAAATAATTCGAGTTAAAAACTACCTTACAGAATTCTGCCAAACTTTATTTCACACCAAGCAGCGTCTTAAACTTCCATACAACATCTTTTTGTTTGGAAAAAATGTATTTTCTACAACAGATTAGTTTTCTCAATTAATCATTTACTGAAATATTTATGCATTTCGACTTACTCTCGGTTATAATCCAGCAATTTCGTCAATCGCCTTCGGCAAATAAAGAAATACTATTAAATTATGAATAAATTCAAAATGAAAGTAAAGGCTCCACTACACTAGAGATTGAAAGATGCGTGGTTGGCCATGATTATAATTTCTTCCGACATACTTGCCCATTGTGTTTTTTCTACATAGATTCACAACAGCCGAAGCAATCAGTAAGAACAGTATCCTTTTGTTTTTTTTTAATGCAAATAACTTTGTGCATTTATGATTTATGTGAGTTCTGCGTCCGCGGCAGGCTTTGGGCACTCTGGATTACGTTTTTTGTCGTCAGCCATGCACCGGGTCAAAGGCGGATTTATGTTTGTTGCAACGATGTTTCCTTAATTAGCGACAGGAGTTTTTACCCCAACAAGAGTTCTTCATTTCTACAACGCTCCCCCTGATAGCACCGAGGGATCCCTTCTCGAGGTATGGATTTACATAGGTACGAATTGTTTGCGTAAACACTGCCATCGCAATATATAAATTATTTTGATTACTTTTGGTCTGTGGCTATAGGAAATGATATTAGGTCAATCAGATAATGTTTTAAAAACACAATGGAGAACGTTGGCGTACACACTTTATAAGATAAATGCAAACTATAGCAATATAAAAATTGTGAATTTTCATGATGAATAGGCTCATTGATGCTTTTTTTTTATCAATTTCGAAACAACAAATTAAGTAGATTTGTTGTTTTAATTAAGTAGATTTGTTGTTTTTCTATTATTATAAGTTTAAGGTGGCTCCCTACAGCTTCTTGAAATAGTTAAATGCACAATCATTCTAAACAGGGATATTAACTAAATGTTTGGCTAGAAGACTAAAAAATAAAATGACTTTTATAGGAACTTGTGACAGGCATGCGTTACCATGGCAAAAGAGACGTTTTAAAAATGTTTGCGATATAAACGCGATTAAACCTTGTTTGGCGGCCATTTTGAAACGCCTCTGTTACCATAGAACATTAGCCAGACCCAGTTCTAAAAAGGTTTTAGCAGTTTAAATATGTTGCCTGTTAGATATATGCAATTTTGAACTTCTGGCAAAACATCAGCCTCGTACCCAGGCGCTTTAATAGTAAAAAATAATGTTGCATTTAGTTATTAAATAGAGGTCGGCTAAAAAAACGCGAGCGCGCGGGGGTGCTTGGGGTGGTTTTGCCAAATTTAGCGTCTGGCAGAAAATGAATTCAACATGGAAACAATCAAATGAATAAACAATATAATACAATACAATATAATTATATACTATAATTACTTGAATTAGATCCAGGTTTTTACAGATACACCGGTTTTTAAAAATGTTATAGGTTGATTAATATTGAACATTTCATGTTACAAATTATATCCGATAAGTATCACGTATGGAATCAATTTACTTTTAAACTCAAGTTGTTGCCATATCGCGTTGAATACATCATCGAATTATTAAACCTGTAAACAAATGAATATAAGTTTATCTTTTATGTCATGGACAGAAACCTCTTAATATGTTGAAATGCGCTTGCTTTTCCCAATAGTGAATATGTAAATACGGCAGGCGATTATTCGAGTACTCTACGATATAGTCACTCCGACGGAAAATATATTGAAATAAAAGTACCTTCAGATGATTCTTCGCCAAAGGAAACGTTCATAATACTTGGCTAGCCTGTCGACAGTCGATCCAGTAAAAAAAATATAAATAATGAAAATAAAAACTGCAAAATACAAGCGTTTCCAGAAATCGGTCACGATTTGCCAGAAATCGGTCATTTTCTACCAGGCGCTTCCTCGCTAAAACAAACCACCCCAAACACCCTTGCGCGCTTGCTTTTTTCAGCTGAACTCTATACAATACCTTGATGCAATGTTATATATATTACTATTAAAGCGCCTGGGTACGAGGCTTGCAAAGCATTTTAACGCCTGATTTCCCGGTTTGAAATGTGCATTTAATTATTTCAAGAAACTGTTCATGTATATACGGAGAGCCACCTTAGCGTTTCTTGTATATTGGTGATGTTCATTACTTCTGCTTTTCGGACTTGTATATCATCTTTTGGATTTCTGAATAAAATACTCGCAACAGTAAATTAGTATTATGTATTATTATTAAAGGGCAATTTACAGCTTCTTTCTCCGTTGCAGATTTTCACAGACAATGATGTGACGGCGCCGTCAAAAATCAAGATTTTCCCTAATGGTAAGTCAAACGGATTCCCTGCGCTATCGGCCATGCACAGCGACTCGTGTACGTGTTATTTTATATGGCGTGATCGTGCATGCAGTTTCCTGCTTTTGGTTCGCACGACCCGAGTTCGAATCCCGGCGAACGTAAAAAAACACGAAAAAAAAAAGAAAAAAAAACAAAACACCGACGGCAATTTTAGACTGCGTTCGCGCAGTGTGCGACGCAGTAATGAAGTGCCTTGTTATTTTGAATAAATTTTCGTCGTCATCGGCCACAAAACAATACATCGCTGACTGTCGATGACATATGGGGACTAGGGACTAGGCTTTAAGCCTAGTTCTTATATGTCACCGATGGTCGGTGAGATAAATGTTATTATCGTGACCGGGCACATACAATACATCGCTGATTGTCGGTGACATATGAGGACCAGGAGTCATAAATCATTCTAATCTGTGATTTGAGTGCATGCATGGGGAGATGTTTCAACTACATGTGATGCAGCACAGAAATAGAGTAACTGTACAAATAATTCACCCTGAATACAGCGTCTCCATTCCCAATTAACAAGGCATGCAGCACTGCGCATCCATCACATGAATTTCAGGCGCAATTGACCGTATCGAAAAAGATGGCGGCATGTATGTTTTACCATAATGCATTGCGGGCATTAAGAATGATTTACTGAAAAAAGATGGCAAGAAAAACTCCTAATGACGTGAAATTTTAACACAGCGAAGAAAATAACTTCCTTTTTTTATGTCTGTCCTTTAAAAGACGTCATTTCACTTTTTTAAACGATTTCCGACCACAATGCATTCTGGTAAAATGTACATCCGCCATCTTTTTTGTTATGGTCAATTAGGCCAGGTTTTCCTGTGTCAATCGAAAAAAATCATCTATCGAAAAAAATCATCTATCGTTGGTCACCGAGAATCGATCGTAAAACATCGCCGATTAATTACGACGACGATTAATGAAAACCAGGCTTAATAATAGTAATTGTTTTCTACAGGGTGTCTCAAAAAAACGAAAACTACAGGGTGTCCCAAAAAAAACGAAAACTATTGAAATCACTCATTGTTAAAATTTGAATGCCGTGTTCACAAATTTCAGCCCGTGGGGATTTAATGCAACTTGCTAAACTTGATAAAATGCTAAATGCTTTGTGTTGCTAGACAAAGGGGACATGTCGAAGGACATGGTCCTTGAGATGCACATTTAAATAATGTTATCCATATTTGTAAATTGTAAATATTGTTAATAAATATCATTTTTGCGAACAAGCGAATTTGACTGCATCATATGCATGCATAAAAATGCTTATGGCAACCCCGATTTATACACTTGTGGGCCCAACAGAGTGCTTAGGCATTCAAACTATAACAATAGCATTGTTATGGGGGATTTCAATAGTTTTCGTTTTTTTGGGACACCCTGTATTGAAATCTCCTATAACAATACAATTGTTAGAGTTTGAATGCCTAAGCACTCTGTTGGGACCCACAGGTGTATAAATGTTTGCCATACGCATGTTTATGCATGCATATGATGCAGTAAAATTTGCGTGTACGCAAAAAATGATATTTTTTAACAATATTTACAATTTACAAAATATGGATAACAATATTTAAATGTGCATCTCAAGGACCATGACATTCGACATATTTCCCTTTCTCTAGCAACACAAAGCATTTAGCATTTTATAAGTTGCATTAAATCCCCACGGGCTGAAATTCGTGAACACGGCATTAAAATTTTAACAATGAGTGATTTCAATAGTTTTCGGTTTTTTTGAGACACCCTGTAATCGCAACAAAGCGTAGTGTGTCGCATTGTTTCAAGCTCGTTAGTTCCACCCAAATGCCCAAAATAATTTACGCTGCGTTTCGAATTTGTTTTCGTTGCGTTTTGAATTGACATAATCCACTAACATAATAGATTATGCCTTGTCACCATTTAGTTGTGATCAAGTCTGCTTATTTTCACTGATGAGATTTATTCGGATGAAATTTATCTTTATTTATGTATTCAAATCGGTCATTGTTCACTGTACACACATTGAATGATTAAGCTATCACATTGTCCACCTTGACATGTCTACGACACACACGATTAAAACGGAAGCATTAAAATGCCTAGTGAAACCAACCAATTAAAGACAAATTAAGATTTTAGAAATATTTCACATTCTCCATATCAACTGTTAGAAACATTTAGAAGCCCTTTAGGCATCGCAAATTATAATATCCAGTGATATAATCAGTTTGAAACCCGTGCCTTATACCAGTATATATTCAACACTCTCTCGTACATTATTTCGCCATTTAGCCACGAAGAGTGCAACAGGCTTAATGGAATGGGATGATGTAAGCACTGCGCTTAGTTCATTGATGTTGATAAATCATGCTGTTGTACGGAATGAAGGTATACTGATTGAGGATATTCGTTATCTTAAAATTATTAACAAATAAAACTATTGAAATAATCTATTGTAAGGATTTGACTAGTCGTGATTAGGGGTTCTTACGAAAGATCAAGAAAAGAAAAAGGTGTGAAGAGGAAATAAAATGCAGTATCACGTGTCATTGGATTTTCTCTTTTTTTTAATGTAGAGGCGCGAACTATCTTCACCATCAAACTGGCATTTTCCTCAGCAAATGAAATCAACTAGAGAGGCAAACGGATTTCTTTCCCATAGATTTGTACATCTGGAACAGTTGCTGTATAATATTGTGTTTGCATAAAATTCGTGGGATTGAACGCTAATATTTTACGCATTTGCATTCCAAAACAGTTAATGTGCATCTATTTACTAGAATAGAGAATATCTTGTAGTTTTAGATTATACCAGTTGTGTGTAGTCATATATGTAGTTGTGTTTATTCAATGCAAAGTTTCTTTAAAATTGTCAGTATGTTATATCATACTTGGTCATATCAGAAGGCTTGACTATCGATCTCTGCTTCACTGTCGACCCAACTGAACACAACATATCTGGTTTATTTTTTGCCGCCTCCTCCTTTCCTTTGAAACACTTCGGCGGTCCTTGTAAAAACACTTGGTGTTGATCCTGTCCTCACTTTTTTGGAAAACATCTACCCAACCTCGTACCTAGACCATGTAGCGGCGTCGCCAGCAGCGGTAAGTGGGGTGGACATTGAAAAGAAATGAATATTGTAAAACACGAAAATATGAATATGTCCACCCCACTTACAAAGCTGGTGTGACCTAGACTCTGGGTACGAGGTTGCGGTGTACCAGAGTTTCCACAAAATTCTTACATACATTTGGCACAATTTTTATGTATTTACTCAAATTAAGTGGCCGGTCATTCGAAAGGCGTTCAGGAAAATGTAAAATGAAATTATTATTGAAATTATTGAACAACTGCATGATATAATTGTTTCGATGTAATTAAGTCAACTATAGGTCCTCTGGCAGGAATCGAACCTACGCTTTTGCGATGCCGGTGCAATGCTCTTGCCAGCATCGCAAAAGCGTAGGTTCGATTCCTGCCAGAGGACCTAAAGTTGACTAATTTTTCATCAGCTGTTCCTGGCTTGAATCTGAAGTGTGTATAATACCACTCGAAATTAAGACCCTTTAAACCTCTAGAATATTCCTACATCGAGTGAAGTGCCAAAATCATAATTGTTTCGATGTAATTAGTTTAATTTTCAATGGAAGTACTACACACAAGATGTATGACAATATTTTTAAACTTCGGCTCAACGCATTTCGAACAAGCGGCGGGGTTGTGACCCCCCACATAATTTTATAGACCACTCTGTTCAACGCCAACCCACTGTCCTGAAATAACTAAAATTGAAATGAAAAAATTGAAATTATTATTTCGTATCAGTATAATAAAAGTGGTGAAGACAATGCTCTCCCGAGGCAAGGCGGAGGTTCGAGACCCTGAAAGGAATGTTTTTCTCGTTGAAATTATTATTAATCCGGCGACGGAGTTGAAAATTTGCGTAGGTTTTGTTTATTTCTTTATTATTTTTCGTCGTCGAATGTCTGTTTTGGCGCGAAATATACTAGTATTTGAAAAGTGTATGTCACTTACCTGAGTCATTTATCTGAGTCAGTTTTGTCTCCCATGAGTTGTGGTGCACAGCTCGAACTCTTTGGCTACTTTTTCTGGGGAGAGCTGAAGGTAACTTAGAATTGCAAAATTACCGAATACAACCCCCCCCCCTAGCAACATACACACCGAATATGGCCGGGCGTCAATTTAGGGGGGATCTAGATCTGATGGAAATCGGAGCAGTTCATCGGAACAGATTCCAACAAAACAGTGAATAAAACAACATTTGTAGTTGTATTATGTATTAATGTAAATAAATCGTATATATCATAATAATCGATTAATCATAATTATATAATCGATTGCGAATCGATCGAAATATAATACAAACCAATAGTTTGTTAAAATATAGCTGCATGTAGTATTATGTTATCTAGAACTGTACGTAGCCCTCTATACTGAATATACATTTAAATATTACGTACGGGTTGGAGTAAGATCACGTGTGTTCTATGGGATATAGAGTCCCTCAAATAAAATATATGGTCACTACTGCATGGAGGCCCCTCGCGATCTTTTATCTTGTTCGAGGGACTCTATGTCCCATAGAACAAACGTAATCAAGCTTTAACCGTCTTAGAGAATAGCTACTTTACAAGGGATTAGTTCATTAGTGACCCTATAGTCTATATAGAGTTGTTAATTAATTAAAAAAAATCACTCGTAATTCAATAGAATTTGTGAATCTCAGACCCTATGAGATAGAGCATGGATATACTGGAAGCTGATTGTTCCGAATGGAGGGAGACTAGATATAACGTCTCGATATTCACATCGGAATTGTTTACGAATTTCAAGAAAACTGCAATGATTGAATTTTTCGTGTGTAAAGGACTTTGGTAAGAACGAAAAAATCCGCCATGTTTCGTGCTTCACTTTTTGGTCGCGAGAACTCCCTGAAAAAGCGAAGTGAAAAAACATGACGAATTTTTTCGTGCTGATGCCAGATATGGGCCCTGATCACAGAATACCTATCAGAAGGACAACTCAAAAATCACACTTACGCAAAAAACAATGGAGTTGTCCTTCTGATAGGTATTCTGTGCCCTAAAAGCGTTTTTTCTAAAAATAATTTTCTATTTTTTGAGAATATTCCTCGGTGACTTCGTATCAAATTGTTTCATTGATCAGGGATGATAGCTTACTGAACAAATGAGCCTAAAAGTTTTATAAGCGGCCCTTTGAACTGAAGTTTACCATAATAATATTTTTATAATATTTTTACATAATAACATGCAGGCCTTATGCGTGTTCATGGTCGTCTATAAAGTATTGAAACTCAGGGGAAAATGTTCTGTCATTACGTATAGGTTCTGTCATCAAAAATAGAGGACCGGTAACTGTTTATATGAATTGTTTATGATTAAAAAAGTGACCACCCAATGCATCTTGCTCACGATAAAACCGTGCAGTCAGACACGTTGAACATTCTATCTACTAAACTGTCTGGTATCTTTGTTAACCTTCTTATGTTTGAAAGTCTTAATTTTTTTCATCGTTTTAGAGTTTCTGTAACCAATACCAAATCCGCCACCACCTCCACGCTTTCGAGGTCGCTCTCCTTTACTGCTGTGGACAGCTATTTCTTTTGTCAAGGGTACTTTTTCTACGATTGAATATTACATACAGATATTCATATGTCTCGTGACAAGTGCATGGAGACTAATATCACACCAGAAAGCGGATCTATAGACTATAATAACTAGGGATCCAAGGATAGTGCAAAATTTGAGTGCCCTCCCGATACCAAGGCAACCAGGCGTCTGTCGCAACATACAGGATTTTGACTTCTGCCAATAAAAATCTAAAGAAGCAGGTTAAACATACCCGGATCAAACGTGGTCAAGCGGCTAATATTACAATTGCTCAATACAGCACCACACACGAATATGGCAAAATTTGTATGCATGCTTCTTATAGCAGCGTTGAAGTTGATTGTATTTTCAATAAATATTTGTTTATAGCTATAGATGTGAATTAAAGAGTTGATATTGTAGATGGTAGATCCAAAGATACAATTTACTACCAAAGCTTGGAGAAATCATACTCTAAAGTACTCAAATTACGTTCGCCGCGATATTGCCATTTAGTCAAGGACCTGTATACGAGTTTGCATGCATTTCATTTAGAACAGGTAAACTGAACCATTTTAGGGTAAATTGACCATGGCGGACAACATGGTAACGCTGCCCGAAGAATAACGCAGGGCGAAACATCCCAAAACTGACCACATCCAAAAACGGCACATTCACTATAGTGCTATCTGCCAAACCAAAAAGTTTTGACTAATCTGAGCTGTCTTTATGGTTCGGAGATGTTTATATGGTCAGTAGAAAATGCCTAACGCTTTATACTTTACAAGAAAATGACCATGCACCAGTAACGGGACAGAGCTCTGACAGGGGGGGTGAATATCTTCACAGATGGCAGAAAGCCGCATCTGAAATACACAAAACATTGAACGCTTTGGCACTATCCAGTAAATAACTACAGTTATTGGGCCTTTGTTTTTGCATGCAGCTTTTTTTTTCTTTGTGTGAAAAGAGGTCAATCCATCTGGCAGGTTCTCCTTATCACGTTCCTCGCGTGAAAATCTATACGGATTGTTCCGAACGATTCGTGTGCATATATTCATGCTAAAATGCTGCTATTTCTCATATTTTATTCATTTTTAAAGTCGGACTCCTTTGTAAAGGTCATATTTGTTAATGCTGAAATTAAAAGGCCTTGAATGTAAGAATAACAATGCGGAATTGTTTATAACCGACAGGGGATGACACAATGGTGCCGTATTCGTCAAAGTTGGGGTTTTACGTTGTCCATGGTTAATCTGTTTAAATCTCCTTCAAAACTTCTGGAAACTTGTTAAAAACGTGAATGTTTGGTCTCGACCGACTTTCATATTTGGAAGGATTCGAACGATTTTCGCTGATGGATGGGAATTTTCAAATTAATATTTCAGTCACAAAATATTAACTTTTTTACACCAAACAGTGAGAATATATTTAAAAATGTACGAAATGTGAATATGTTTATTTGAAGTTGTAAGCCACAATTTGACACTTGTGCATGAGTAATGCATGGTCATTTTCTTGTAAAGTATTAGTGTTATTGGCATTTTCTACTTACCAATGACCACCCCTAAAAGCACCATCTCTGAACCATATAAGCAGCTCAGATTAGTCAAAGCTTTTTTGGTTTGGCAGATAGCACTATAGTGAATGTGCCGTTTTTGGGTGTGGTCAGTTTCGAATGTTTCGCCCTGCATTATGTTTCGGCAGCGTTACCATGTTGACCGCCATGGTCAATTTACCCTAAAACAGTTGAGTTTACCTCTCCTAAATGAAATGCATACAAACTCATATACCTTGACTATTATTGAATTCTATTTTAGTTGCCTAGACTATGTAAACATTCTGTAATGCCTGCACGTTAATCAATATAAACATCTGAATTGTTTCAAAATTTCAAAATAACATTGCTACGGTCTCGTTCCTTCTCTGTATATATAATAGATGCTGTACTGCCTGTACACGGCTAAAATTATTTCAGTACTGCGTCGGATGTTCGGGCTTTATAGTATAAAGGAGATGTCTATAAATAAACAGCACAGCGTTGTTTCTTCGTAGCTCTCTGTTTAATGAATTTACCGTCCTAATGATATCTGTGTCTTACTGAATGCTCCTAATGCATAACACAAATCTATAAATTGCGTAGAATTTCTAGAATTTACTCGATTTTTGCGTTACAACACTCTGTCGCTCCTTGTGTTTTCCATTGTGATTATTGATCAAGGCCCGATGGCACATGCACATTTGCGAAGTTCGAGAAAAAATCGGGCCATGCACAAAATATCGCTAAAAACACATATCAAGTTCACCCCCCGGAAAGTTTATACTATGACTGACTGACTCAATGACTCGCTGACTGACTGACTGATTTAAATTTTCGCCACTCATCACAATACTGCAAAGTTTCTGTGAACTTTTGTGTGTTTATGCCTTTAAATGCGAAACCCTCATTAAAACAGGCCCTTTCAAGCCCTAAAAAGGATACCTAAATTTACAGCAGGGGGAACTTGAAAACCGAAAGCCTTTGCAACTTTCTGCAGATCTAACGTATTCACGCTGAATATATCTCTGTGTTGATGCGAGGCGTACGCCTGAAGATACGACCTATAGCCCTCCTTCGCAGACTTGTGTAGGTAGTAGTTCTTTGCGATCAATTTCTCAAGCTGGAATGAAAATCAAAGATTACAATCACGAATAGAAGAAATTCAATTAGTTTCCAGAAAAGGTCCAAAAGAAATTTGTCAATCGTATTTGCCAAAACGTCACCAACTGACCACGTCCAACCGGACTGGTTTGTTCGTGTGATAAGAATCGTATGTTGATGGCATAATTATTGACTGGTATATTATACTTCAGTTTTTCTTAGAATATTAAGTGCTTATGTAAAAGCATGCAATAATATACCGAAGAGAAATTTCAAGTTTTAGGCTAGCTTTATTGTTGCATTCAAATGGTCTATTTCAAAAAAAGATTTCAGAAAATAGTCAAAAATATTTGGTTTACGATTCATTTGTACGGTTTACCTGGGATTGAATGTTGGCAATCTTGGACGACGACACGTCATACTCGTTAAGAGGAACCTAAACAAGGAAACAGACAAGTTTAGGGAATAAACGGTTGAAAACAATAGTTTCTCGTAGGCTAATTGACCCTCGCGATCATGAGGAAAGATAGGCAAGTGAACTTCATCCTCACTATCTTTTACTCATGGCCGAACAATTATTTCGTAGATAAGTGAGTTTGACGTTGTCGTATCTCGTTATGAGAGCTTTTGAGCACCCGTTATCTCCTTAATTCCGACATCCCTAAGTTTATTGTTGACAGCTTCCAAACCACACGCCAGGACGATTTCACACCTTACGTGGATGAAGGGTTTATTGCCAATCGTAATAAACCTATTTTTCTGTACAACATTTACCTTTGCGTGTTTTAAGTAGCGAAGGAAAGCCAGTTCCTCAGGAAGTAAGAATAAAAGAGCATGTCCTTTTCCGTGTGCACCGCGCGCTGTTCGCCCAACTCTGTGAATATATTCCTGATAAAGGAAAGATATATTCAATATGTCATTATTTCTCATCATATCTATAATTCGTACAACTACATAGGTTACGTCTGTCCTGTATGGTGTACTTAAGATGATTAACCAATCACTAACCAATCACTAACCAATCACTTGAGATAATTAACCAATCACTTAAAGAGATCCATCGAGGCGTAAAAAAAAGCGTAACTCCCTTACACTATATACACTCGATTTATTGGCATGCACGGCTAAAATGGGTATCTCTGCCAATTTTAACTATGCCCGCGACCTTTGTACGTCTGAGCCGAAATAAATTTTTTTTATAAGATTTTTTTAAAATAGAATTCAGCCGTGCCGTGCCAATAAACAAAATGTAGTGTAAGGGGGGTCACACTGGGGCACAACGGGTTTTATTTTGAGTACTTCAAAGTCACTATTGTAAGTAATTTATTGTACGACTACATGTAGCTATGTACTATTGTAAAATTCTAATAGTCTGTAAATTAGAGTAGATTTTATGATTTGTACGGAGCCACGCACGTTTTGGGTTATTTTAGTAAAGGCTCAAATTCTTAGGAGGGTGAAAATTTCTGCGTGGACAAAAATTAATAAACAAATGTCAAATGGGAATTGTGTGCCTTTTTAGATCAGTGCATGGGAATATATTAATAAATGGATTCGATTTCGGTGTGTTCAAAGCCAACATATACATGATGTACAAAATGATGCAGGACGGTTATAAGATAGAAAGATAGATAGATAAACCGTTTAATAATACTCATATGGCAGCCAATCGGCTGAATTGCATGAGGCTATACAACAATTTAAAAACATTATAAAAACTATACTGTACACTACTAGTAAAAAACATCTATATAATTTACTATTCATTTAAGAGACTGGATATTATAAACGTGTCCCTATATCTGTTTGTACGATAGTTAGGAATGTAAAATTGTTTCGAACTTCTAAGATTGTACATATCCAGAACTTTCATAGGTAAAAGATGATGGAGTTTATGGTTTTCATCGTTAACTATTAATTTAAAAAGTTTTTTGCACAAGTCTTCTCTTCTCACCCACAAATGCTTCATATCAAGAGTAGCCAAAGCATCTTCATACGATAGATCAGGAAAAATGATACGCATTGCTCTTTTTTGGATTCTTTCGATTATGCCTGAGAGGTATTTTGTCAGGCCGTAATGAAAGACCTGACAAGCATACTCGAGAATCGACCTGATCGATGCAATGTAAAAACATTTTAAATCGTTACTGTCAAGACCAGACTTCTTGAGTTGCTTTGATAGATAAAGACGCTTGGTAACTTTCGTCGTTATTTTATCAACATGTCCATTCCATTTTAGATCTTGGCTTATCAAAACGCCCAGTATTGTTGCCTCTTCTACTCGAGCAGTGATTTGTTCTTGCATCAAAATAGGGGCAAAATCAGGCTCACTCTGTTGGAAATTAATTACCATTTCCTTGCATTTAGACGGATTAAGTTCAAACTTGTTGCGTTGGGACCAATCCACAATAGAATCTGTCACTTCTTGGATAGAGTTGGTATTAACTTGATAAGTGAGATTCTCCCAAATGCTGGTGTCATCAGCATATTTAATCATGTCACCCATGAACTGGTCATCTGAGATCGAGAGGTCATTAATCATTACTATAGAAATAATCACGGACCAAGCTTCGTCCCTTGTGGTACCCCAGCATTAACTGGTTTCCACGTAGAAAAACAGTTTGAATTAAGTTTCACTCTTTGGAATCTTCCACGTAGAAAATCGACAATCCAATTTAAAACCGATGGTTTCAAATCAAGTCGTCGTAACTTCTCATAAAGTATATTATGATCTATAAGATCAAACGCTTTACGATAGTCCGTTAGAGGTGTTCGCACAGACCCACCCGCCTTGTCCACTGTCTCTGACCAACGATGGATCAAAGAAATCAATGCAAGGGTGGTACTTGATCATGGTATAAACCCGTATTGCTTAGGATAAATACATTTCATTAACGTCGGTTGAAGATCCCTCGTGATTACAAAATCCTCTGCAATTTTACACAAAGTTGAGGTCAATGAGATGGGCCTAAGATCTTTGTTAATGTCAAACACTTGTTTACTTTTGGGGATCGGACAAACATTTGCCAATTTTCAAACCAAAGGCAACCGGCCATCTTTAAAAGAACCATTCAAGATTGTTGCAATAGGAGATGCCAATACAGTTGCAAATTTCCGCAGAACCCAGTTTGGTAAGTTATCAGGACCACTTGATTTACCCGATTTGATGCTGTGTACGTGTGTCCACACTTCCGTTTCAGTCACAACAATCGTAGCGTTATTCTCTGTCATGGGTGAGATATTATTAAAGGGAGATATCCTTGCATGGGTTCCAAGAAAGTACTGTTAATCGTATTACTTAGTGTGACAGGATCCTGAATATCGTGTTCTAAGTTTGAAAATATGGAATTACATCCTGATCCTGACGGAAGACCACACAAACGTTTCACCTCGTACTACCAATCTTTAGGCTTACTTTGCTTTATATCCTTTACTTTAGCTTCGTAATATGCTTTCCGACACTTTTTCCTCATTCTATTAACTTTATTTCGCAACTGTTTGTATAAAATATCGTTATTCTGTGCAAAAGCTCTTTGCCTTTTATCGATCAGCGATTTGAGATTACAATTCGGTCATTTTCCCGTATCTTAACAGTTTTTAGTGGCGCCAGAGTGTCTAATCCATAGTTGATAATGTTGGTTAGAGTATCTAGGTTTTCTCCACAACTGAATTCAGGAGTGATCACAAGATCCCATGGAGCTTCACAGAAAAACCGACCGAGACGTCGTACAGTGCTAGGTCTTTTATCACGTACATGGCATACTTGTGTCGTTTGAATGTCTTTCGACCTGAGCTTAGGTAAGGCAAGAACAGTTACATGATCTGACAGACCCAGTGGTGGAGCACAAAAAGGTGTATCATAAAAATCAGCAAGGTTTGTCATAACTAAATCCAATTTACTTGAGCCTCTTGTTGGAAAGTTAACAATTTTTTTGAGTTGGAATTGTCGAGAAATATGCCCAACAGGCAATTTATTAAAGTCGCCTGCGATAATCAGTCCGCAGTTCGGGTATTTCGCTTCAGCAAACTCCAGAGATGACTGCAAATATTCTAACATGTATGTTTTTCTTTCACATATATGCACACTCCACCGTGTTCTCTTTCGGTTCTATCAAGTCTGAGCAAGCTATAGTTATCAATGTTAATTACACTGCCCGGAATGTTAGATTTCAACCAGGTTTCCGTTATAAAAACAAGGTCAGGATTATGTTTATCAATTACATACGCTAGCTCATCAATCTTGAAAACCAGGGACATGACGTTGGCCAACATAATGGGGGGAACATAAGTGAAACATCGTGACTCCTTTCCTGTCAGAGGTGGCTGGGAGGGCGGAATGGAATTTATATGAGTATCTTTTCCGGGAGATCGTGGTGTAATCGTGCGTAATCGGGATGTAATCGGTGAGACATACTCGGGTGATCGGGATGCAAACTTGTGTGAACGAAGTCCAAATAAGCATTCCATTTCTCTTTCCATCCGGGGGGGCGGCTGTGGTTTCTCGTATGTCGAAAAAAACGGGTATGGTTTTTCTTTTTGTAACCATGTTTCTTCCTTCCTTTACATTCTCGGTTGCTGTAAATATTACGCTTATCGCAGCGACTGGTGATTCGGATCGGGATTGTGTTTGTAGATATTACTTGACTAATTGTGGGATCTTCTTGCACACTATTAGAGTTAAATTTTGCACTGTTGACAGGAATATAATCGCAATTGGGTGCGTTTATAAATAAATAAGCAAGACACTTGGTAAATAAGCAAGACACTTGCGAGATTTAAAATCTAGTCTTGGATCACAGGTTAATACCTTCCTTTTACTAATAGGCGATGATTGTTCCGTAACTTTTTGCTCTGGGTCACAACAATGTGCTTTCTGGTTGATCATTGGTTGCAATTTTTCTGGTATACAATTTGAGATCCTTTTGAATGATCATTTGAATTTAAATCATTACTAATATGTAGCTCGGGTGCCATTTGGGGGACAAGTTCCTTGGTTATGACAATTGATGCGGGTGGTTGATTTAGGATTTCGACTGAGCAGTTAGGATGTAAAGGCTCGTTAAGCGGTACGGGCTTTGTTTCCGCACAGATATTTCTCGCATTGCTAATTTTGTTATTGAGGGTTTCATACATTTGTTCCTTTGATTTCAAATATGAAATTTCTTGTTTAAAAAACAGAATATCAGATTCTAATTTTCGACCTTTCTCCTTTTCGTCCCCGAGCTCAACCCTAAGGCGACTTATTTCGGAACAGTCAATTGAGTAATACATTCCAAACTCTGCAAAGAGTCGACCCTTGACTAAAGACTTCAATATCGAACTTAATGTTTTCTAGCAAGTCCGCCGAATCACACGGACGCCTTTCTGCGATGCATTGATCAGTTTGACTCTCCCGATCTATAGTAATTTTTTTGTCATAATCTGCTGGATTTTTCAATGCATTAACGTGAGAGGGATCAGCAGATGATATTATATTCGGGTCATCAGAGGAGTTTATACCGTTAGCATTGTACCTTTTTTTGCAAACTTTGATTAAATCGTCTCTTAACATGATGCCAGCTTTCCCTTGCAGTAATAACGTGTTTTGTTTTCCGCGATACCAAGTCAAAGTTAGGTCCACATCAGAACTTGTTAACTTTCGTGCGGTGCCACCAGGTGAGGACCATTTGCCAGATATTTTGAGAATGTCTTCAACGAATTTCACTAGCTCCTCAAGGTTATGTGACCATTTAATTCGCTAGCCATCATAATTTAAGTACGAATTGTAATCACTTGACGAAATATCTTCGAATTCCCACATTTTGAGAGCTCAAATAGGTGATAAAATTTTAAAAATTACGGAGCACAATTTACACGTCAACTATGTTGATCCTTATTGATTCCTACAATCTAAAGCGAACTAAATAAAAGGCACTTAATAAAATTGGGTCAGGCTACCCTAGCAATCGGAATATCTTCTTTTTTAAAAATATGTGAATATCTTAATTATGTAATAAATATCGCCCAATTCACTAAAACACATTAATTCGATTGTTATCAAAGACACATACGACGCTTAACGAAGATATTTCAATTTAAAATTATTACTAGGTAAAAACTGTTGGAGTGTGGTTGGAACGGTGCTTATAAGTTAAAACTCTATTTCGCGTAAAACATTATTTTGTTATTTGTTTTGCGTAATTAATATGTATTTTCTACAATAGATTGTTTTATAGTAACATATAGGTCTTGTATGTTTGCATGGTGACATCAATAAGTAAATTAGCTTGTAGGTACACCACGTAAGTATTTAACACTTGTACCTACACGCTAATTAATTACAGATTGTTTTATCTTTAAATAATCGCTTAAATTTAGTAGTGGATGAAACTACAGCGGAGGCTAATGAAAGTACGCGGCAAAAATCGTTGTTTGCCGGTTTCCAACGATGCGCAAGATTTATATATATTTCTCGATAAAATCTTTATTCCTTCGCGCGTGTGAAAAACCAAAGTTATATATATATATATATATATATAATTATATATATATATATATATATATATATATATATATATATATAACTTGCAACTTTACCTTAGGATCATCAGGGGGGTCAAACTGCACGATCCAGTCTACCTCAGGGATATCAAGGCCACGAGCTGCGACGTCAGTACATAGTAAGATACCAGATTTTGCTTGGCTGAATTGAAAAAATGTCGTTGTACGCTTCTGTTGCTTTTGTTTGCCCTATGAAAAAAACAACCTCCAATTCTTTCTAATCCTTGTCCATTACTATTACCGTTAAGCGAGAATAATTCCATGGAGGATTTCAAAAGTTTTTTTTTCATAATATAGCACCTCTTCAGACAGTTTTCTATTCATCTTAATTCAGGTTAATTACACTTTTATCAGAGCTAGCGTTCACGATTCATCTAAGTGACATGACAATTTCAGATGAGTCTGTTTGCAGTGGCTGAGTTACCAAGAGGTTGACTTCTTGATCTTGCTATTCTTGTTCCTCGTATACATACGAAATCAGCTTTGGCAAAGCAATTGCACTTGACGTCAACGTGAACATCCTCCGTTATTGACGTCAACGTGACAATTCTCATGCACATGCACATCGGTGTGATGATGATTAATTGCTATTGAATATATCGGGGCGTGATACATGGTACCAGGAAGTTTGAAATTCATGCAGTTATAATTGATAAATTCATAAACCCCACTCCCATTTCGAAGGCCTGTATGACTTAAAAAAACGATGCATAATCCATACTCACGTGTATGTCAAGCACCTCCAGATCAATGTAGTTAAGAAGTTCAGAATGATATTTCACAGAATGACAAGATGAAAAAAACACCATTACTTTCTTATCCCGATTCTTCTTCAAAAACGTAAATAAGACCAAGAAACGTTTGTCTGACGGCACAACTAAATAACCCTAGAAATAACAAAAATAAGTCTTCGCGTTATGTCACGGACGTCATACATTTGAGTAGGCTATACCTTAAATTTCATAGTCATAACTTGAAGACACTAAAACTCTATAAATGCCACAACGAATAATGGTCTCAATTGAAGCATTTCGATTGACTTACTGCGTATCATTAAATGACATTCTAATCAAGGCTAGTCTCGAAATTAATTTTACCATTGTTGGAATGAGTATGCATGCAGAAGTAGTAAAGATAGTGGAAATTCCCCGATTTACCCATTCATTAAAGTTCAAAATACTGGTCTAATTTGAATGATAGACGTGGCTTAAGAAATTAATGTGTATTATAAGGGCCTGTTTAAATGTAGGTTTACATGGAGCGAGTTATTCCGGCCAGGCGAGGTGAGAACTACATATAATGAAGGACTAATGATGTGATGCGCTTTTTACCTCGCCTAGCCGGGATAACTCACGCCATGTAAACCGGCCCTGAGGCGGCTAATAAGATGGTTCCTAGTTAATTATACCAACCTGCTCTAAGCCTTCAACTGTTGCTGTTTCTTTATTGTCATCAACGCCCACATACAATGGAGCTTTTTTTAATGATATTCTCGCTAAATCTTCAACATTTTTCGTTTGTGTTGCAGAAAATAATACCGTCATTCGACGACCTAGTTTGAATCGAAATAGATTATTTGTTCATACATACACGAAACCTCGACAAGTGCATGCGAAACAATTCCCTTTTGCATGCACGAACAGTCGAATCAACATCTAAAGACAGGCGTACAGCCTCGTACCCAGGCACTTTAGTAGTAAAATATATAACGCACCCCAAGCATCCCCGCGCGCTCGATAATTTTCAGCTGACCTCTATATAACAGCTGAATGCAACGTTATATCTTTTTTCCACTAAAGCGCCTGGGTACGAGGCTGCCAGGCGCACATGACACGTTTTTTGTTTTACAAAAATGACATCGCACCCGCAAATATTTAGTCGACCGACTAAAATCGTTTTCCTATCCTTCTCACAAAGTGTATTGCTGCTATCTTTTCACATTTTTTACTTTAGGCTAAGTAAGGGTAGCATTTAAGAGGATATGCCACTCAAACTGCGTTTACACCAGACACAATTTTTTGGCACGGCACGGCTAAAATTGGTACCCGTACCCAATTTTATTAGTGTTCAAAGTTAGTGCTAAACAATTTATTAGTGTTAAACAAAGGACGAGCACAGATGAAATGGGCACGGGTACCCATTTTAGCCGTGCTGGGCCAAAAAATCGAGTGTAGTGATATGATACCTGGTAAAATTCGAATAATCTGTTTCATTTCTTCTTCGAAGCCAATCTGCAATATTCGATCAGCTTCATCAATTATGAGACATTGCAAATTCTTGAATTTAAACCCATGCGTGTTCTGCAAGGAAGAATTATGCATTTTAATGCATTAGCTTTCAGCGTGCATTTCGAGTTATTTAAATATTTAAACCCTCTATCAAATACAACGAACTCGAGCTATCAAATTCAACTATAAATGTGCTGCTATTCAACTATAAATAGCTTTATAAACTTAAATTTTTAGCGAAATCTCAACTCTTTTTGAACCAGATTAACCTTTAAAGTTAGTTTGAAATAACTACATTTTCTTAATTCCAATTAATTTAAATAAATTTAAGGAAAAACTTCAAAAGAGTCGTCATACATTTGTTGATAAATGTTTGTGATATTGCACGAGTACCGGAAGTGGAATTAGTGTCCTGGAGAAGGACGTCCTAAGGGCGGTTTTCCACTAGGCTAGGCGGAATTTTTCGAGCGAATGAAATTTTTCGTCTGACATTCTTTTCCACAGGTGGTTTGCAATTGCCGCCATCTTGGTTGATTTTTCAAAACATTGCACAAATAATTTTTTCGTCGTTGCTATATTTTATTCCCACCCAATATATGACAGAGATGATAAGCAGTTACAAAATAAACAAGGAAAAAGTAAATCAACGCAGTTTGTTCTCTTGAAAAGCAGAACTTTGTAGAATCAACCAAGATGGCGCCTAATCACTGATGACCAGTGAACTCTAATAAGACTGGAACGATAACTTGGCCGCCATCTTTGAAGCCAGCACTGATAGCCGCCATGAAGGCCAAGAGTTGAAATTACACCACCAAAACAACGCCGGTTTTTATACACAAATCCATCTCATCTGATCATGAATAAAAGCTTAAAACAAGCATTGACACTTAGATTTTACTAAAAAACAAGTTTTATGAACGTGAAAAGGTGCAAACCTATTTTTTTGCGAGTTGAAGGCGAAGTTTTTTTTCGGCCCGTTCTGCTGGTACCTCGCCGGTTTTTACAATAAGATGATGCAGATTACTTAGGTCTATCCAAAAAGGGTAAATTCGTTGTTTAAAGTTGAAGTGGTCAAATAAAAAGTGCACTTTTCTGGCAATTTTTTGCCAAAAAATACGATTTTTACGGAATTCTCACTCTCCATGCACAGTTCTTTTGAAGACTTGATTTGCTCGCGCGGCTGCCGCCTTAATCAGCAAATTATATTCAAATCGGCTTCATCCAATGACTAGTCTTTATTGTTAAGTTATCGTTCCAGTCTTATTAGAGTTCACTGCTGATGACTGATTATGACGTCATATGCAAACATTATGACGTCAAATGCAAACCAAGAATTATGATAATTCGAGCGTAGCGGATTTCCTTCACCGGTCACAATTGAAAAGAGAATCGAGTGAAAAATTTAGTTCGATCGAAAAACTCCGCCTAGTGGAAAACCGCCTTTTTAAGGCCCGTTTACAGTTAATGCGGGTACCGCATACTTTCTTATGTATATAATTATCCTAAGGCTGGCAACTCTCACAAATATTTTTTTAAAATGCATACATTAATACCAACGCTGGAAACACAAAAATTACCCTAGTTTCTTGAAAAAAAAAATAGATACCAAACACCTTGGATATATTTACCACATTTATCTGTAATTTTTAGACTTGAAAACAACTTAAAAATGCTTAAATTTTGCAAATAAAAAGTGTATTTTCATCGAAATTTTGTTAAACAGAGGCGGGATGCCATTTACTCCACAAACGTCATCATCGGAAAAATCGTCGGCAAATTTCTGATTGGCTGTTGAAAGTTCGGAAAATCACGAAGACATTTTTTCTTCATTGATTTGGCCTTCGTAATAAAATCGCACCTAAAATTGCAGGTGTAAACGGGCCTTTAGGAGAGGCCAAAAGAACTCCGTTAAATTCATCAAACCTAACATTAAATATCTATAGTATAATATCAATATAATGTTTATCATGAACATGATACTAATGATGAACAAAAATTATCAACATGAAAAACACGCTGACAGTGTATTACATAGCCTTAGCTATCTTAAAAAATCCGTTCACCTGTAAATGGTCTAAGAGTCGTCCTGGCGTTGCAACTAACAGGTTGACGCCCTTCTGAAGCTTTTCAGCCTCATTCTTTCTATTGGCTCCACCCATAATGATGCCATACGTGTGATTGTGGTGTTTTATCAAGTCTGTAACCACGCCAAATGTTTGTAGGGAAAGTTCTCGTGTTGGGGAAATTATGATTACCCCTGTGCCTGAGAAAAAATATTGCTAACATCGTTATATGATAAGAAAGATAGCGGCATGCGGATCTACTGTATGTCAAAGAATACCTTAATGCGCGCTTTAAACGATAGCAAATTTGATTTTGTGATATCTTACATCGTTAAAGGCGAGGGTAACCCTATAGGCTATACTAAACTTCCGATGAACCTTAGATGAACTTTGGATAACCTTAAAAATTCTAGTTAATTTCTCCAGTAAAAATTATGATCTTAAAAAATAAGCAATATAATTATATGAACCAAAATCGTTTTCGGCTGATAATTTAAGCAAATAGAGAATATAGCTACTGTACGGTTAAATCGAATCGAATCGGAATGGGCAAAATACGTTCGATCATTTTTTATATGCTACGATTGACATGGAGTTGAACAAAACATAAGCACATGGAGCATGCAGATATACGCAAACCATGCAAATGAACATTAGGTGCCAAGGGAGTCCTCCCCAGGCCTTATATTCCTTGTTTATGCGAGGGAAGGTTTAGTCGCCACCTGCAGCGCAATAGACGATTTTCATAGCTAAATATGATCTAATTATATTAATTTAAAGTATAACAAAACGTTTTGAGCATAGAAATTATCTTACCGTTCCTGGGCTTAAACTGAAGTTTGTAAAGTAGCTCAATCGCTGGGATTAAAAATGCCAAAGTCTTTCCGCTTCCAGTTTTGGCTGCACCCAGTAAATCTCTACATAATAAATATATTGTGAAACAAATGCAGATTGATCTTTACACAACAAATGTTTAGGTAAAAAGCTAGAGAAATCATGCAAACTTAAGCACATGCACGTATTTGAAACTAGGGATCCAAGGATAGTGCAAAGTTTTCATGCCCTGTAATACCTAAGCAACACGTTTTCCCAACATAAACATTTTGACTTATGCCAGTAAAAATATAATGAACTAGGTTAAACATTAATCAAAAGGAAATTATTCAAAGTACTCAAGTTACGTTAGCCGCGGATATTGTCACTATTAAATTATAATTTTAGTTGCCCATGTAAACCGGACGCGATTTTCTCAGTTTAGTCTCTTTTCTTCGTCAAACAATTGTGACTACATTCACTACATTTATATGATGGCAACAATTTATCGTCATTTCATAAGAATAGCCAAAATAGTTGCGTTGTAAATAATGTAAATAAACCGCGGTATTATGTCTATGATGTGGATACTTCGACGCGTAGCTAAATCGATACAAAACAATATACATATAATCAATACTGTATACCGCCAAAATGATTTGATTACTGCACAAAATGTCCGTTTTGTATACTATCATTTATGTACTGTATGCAGAATACCAGGTATCGACTTGCTATATATCGACATAATATATATTCGTCATTCGTGTAAGAGATCTATCAATACATAAACAACACAGCGTCGTTTCTTCCTAACCTATTAGCTCTATTTATGGAATAAACCTTCCAAATTATATTTGTGTCGAATTGAATGCTCTTAATTCATAACATAAGTTGATAAATTGCGTAGATTCTCAAAGAATTGCACGATTTTTACGCTCGGAATGTTTTGAAGCAATGCTCGTCGCTCCTCGTTTCTTTACATCGTGAATAATGTTGAAGCCTGAAGGCTCGACGGCACATGCGCAGTTGCGACGTATAGGAAAAAATCGGGTGTTCCGGGGGTAAATCTGCGCAAATCCCTTTGAAACAAAACCCAAACCGCGGAAAAGCAATGCTTTAAAATTTACAGTAACCGTCAAAATTCCTCAAAATTTTGGTGAACTTAGCAAAAGGGATGTAGAGAATTAATAAATAAAGCAAGTTAAACTGATTTGAAAACTTTAAATTACTGATTATATACAAAAAGCTACTATACGCATAAAAACACTCCGCCCCCCGGAGTTTACACTATGACTGACTGACTGTCTGACTGTCTGATGTGAATTTTCGCCACTCACCACAATACTGCAAAGTTTCACAGAAACTTTGCACTAAAAACCACTATCTACAGACTAGATGTGGTATTATGGGATAACGCTGCGTGGGACGTGGAGCGTAGGTAATAAAACCCTGGGTATGAGGTTGGGGTAATAACCTCGGATTAACATAATCCAACTACATAGAATGCAAATGTTGGACTAAATTTGCCCCCTCCTGAAAAAAAAATTGAACATAAAATGTTGAAGCAAACAGCATAAAATATGTGGTTATTTCGTAAAAGGCCTTTCCTTACATGATTATGGCTAATTACACATAAACAGCATGTAATTCATGTAACCACTGCTATGGCAAAATTTTTAAAGACACAAATTTTCTGACAGTTTATCGCTATAAGCCCGGAAAGCACAAGCTTCTTCTAAAACCAACATCAGAAAGGTTTTTCCAGTGTTTTTCTTTATGCAGCTAGTATTACCTAGAGCTGCACATTATATATATGGAAAGTGGAATGTTTGGAATTTCCTTATGAAATTTTGCAGGAAATTTGAACTGAGGACAAATGTTATGTTAAATTAAGTATATCCCATGCTGTGTTGTGTAGCAGTTATTATTATAGACACATGCACACCACATGTTTTAGTCAAGAAATTTTTACTAAGCCTTCTAATGCTTTAGGGAACATTTATCATTATGTAATATAATATAAAGCATGTGTAGTTTAGTTTAAATTGGAAGGATTACTAAGGTAAAAACACTGACAAAATACAGTAATGTCATCCGCCTTTACACTAAAAAATCCAATATAATCCTTAAAACTTTGCTTATCTGAACAAGCACAAACAACTAGTATGTTCCCACAAGTGAAAGCATTTGCATTGAATTGTCAATTTTCTTGTTTTGAATTTTCATTTAGTCAAACTGTTTCAGAGATGGCTAGAACTAAACAACCCTCATCCGTGTATGTAGTTTTAGCCTTTAGGGATGTATTTCTCTAGATAGTAATTCTCCCTGCTGAGACAATTAAAGAAATGTTCAGAGGACCTCGTATTATTAATGGGTATATATTATATACCCAGCTTTGCTTAGTTTATTAAACAAAACACTTCTGAAGTCATAATACCTGCACCACAGCAATATAAATTATACTTATTACAAACCTTCCATTGAGCAATGGCACTATACTCTTATGTTGGATTTCAGTCATATTTATAAAGCCCATATCTGAAATAGCCCTTAGCGTTTTTTCCGACACACTTTCTCTCAAAGACTCAAAGGATGTGTCATCATTTGTTGACAATGCTGAAAAAGAGTAAGAACCTAGTTCACATATCACACATACTTCTATTTTCTATGTATATAATAATATGTGTGCAACATTTATAACAATTTGGTACCAGTACTACCGATTTTTTAAACATTTAGCAAAAAAAATTGGATGAAATAATGGGGCAATTGAATTTATCATTTTATCAGTGATAAAACTAGTCTGACAACAGTTTTAAGGAAAAAAAATTGAACAGTAAAACGCTTGTTAGATTATTGATGCTACTACTGTACCTGTTGGGTTAAAGGAAGTGTGTTCTTCATATTCATTCTCTTCTGTATTGTCTGACAACAGTTTTAAGGAAAAAAAATTGAACAGTAGAACTCTTGTTAGATTATTGATCACTACTACTGTACCTGTTGGGTTAAAGGAAGTGTGTTCTTCATATTCATTCTCTTCTGTATTGTCTATGCCCTCAATGACACGAGACTCATTCATTTCATTGGGTTTAATATTTTGTTCAACACTTTCAACTGAAAATGTAGGAGAAAACAATTAGTAAAAGGATACAAAATACGTATACGATGTGCTAGCCATATTTGATGCATCAATTTGCATATGAGAAAAGATGACAAAATAATAATACCTTTCTCTTCCTCTACAGGGTTTGAGAATTTCTTCTTCAATTTCCTTACCTTTTTACCTACAAATAACAACAAACATATTCATCTGCACTTAATTGAATGAATCTGGTTTAATTGTCCTAAAGGGCATGTGCTAAGTTAAATTTTAATACTTACATTCCCAATAATCTCACAGATTTGTTAATGTTACACAATGTAGTTGTAAACAATCTGTTAGGTTAAAACATTTGGTGAATCTATGTAGACTTTTACAGTAGCCCTGTCAAGTGGCAACCATGATAGACAACTGGCACATTATTTTATTTTCATAATTATAAATGTCATGTACACATGCATTGGCAATATATTGATGATATGTTACAATTTCTGTAGTTGCCTGTATTCTACTTCATTTCACAATTGAAAAGTGGAAAAGTTTCACCAGCAGACATTTTGAATTTTAGTGTACCTGTATTGGCTGTATAATATACTGTATGTTGACTGCAAGAAAGGAGACTACCTAACAGGTTACCTACTAAATAATAAAATATACTGAATTTCTAAGCTCTCTCTAAGTATTTATTATTTCTTTTTTTCATAATTCATTCTACTTTGAAACCTCTACTTTCTCTTTTTATTTAAGGATTTAAAGGATTTTATTTTGGCAACTCTCTTTCTATTTTCAGACTTAAAATTTAATTCCAGTAAGCATTGAAACTCAACGGAATTATGTCTATTCATACGCGACTAGGGTCCAGATCTTATTCAATACTCTACTATACCAACTATACCTGAAGGGCCACCAGTGGAAGTTTTTTTTCGCTTCTTTCTGAACTCTTTATCTTCCATAATTTTGCTTTTTAAAAATACACGTGCATTTTATCTTTATTATCTCTGAAGCAAACACGCACTGATACTGATCTGAGCACGCAAATTATGATGTACACCCCATACTTTATGTAAATATATATATTTAAATTTAAACATGGCCGGCAGCAAAAGGGAAAGAGCTCTTGCGGAAAGAACATTAATCGCGTTATTACAAGCTTGCGAGGGACATAGAACTATTGTTGAACTACGAAACGAATCTTATGCAGAGGGTAAAATATCACAAGTAGATGGATATATGAATGTTAACATGATTAATGTTGAATTTACGAACCAGAGATCGGAAACGGTTCGTTTAGAACAAATGTGTGTTCAGGCGAAACAGGTCCGATTTGTACATATTCCTGATAAAATTAATATGAGGGAAGCAATAGAACGACAATTGAAAATACTGAAGAACTCTCGAGTTCCCATGACTCAAAAATCACGAAAGAGATAGTAAGGTCGAATTCTGTTTAAAATGTGTGGGATATTATTATTATAAAACTTGGAGTCCCCATCATGGGGGTTACTATATAATTTTGATATATTATGTCCATTCTTTTCAGAAATATTGTTATAAACTAAAGAACTGTGTTTAACCGTGTGATATTCCCTGTTTTGACATATGTGAAATATCGATTTGTAATTTTAATTTACAATAATTTAAAATGATGGTCAAATGATGATTTTGACAATTAATGATGGTCCTGTTTAAATTTTTTATATTTGTTACCTAAAGATGGGATAAAGGTGATCAACTGATTTTTGAGTGAAATAGATTAACAGCTAGGGATAGAAATGGTGGCTTTATATGAGATTGTAGTTTACTAAAAGTATTGGGTAAGTCTTTGAACAGTCTTATGCTCCCTCATTTAGTGATCTATTATCTCATATCTATCTATCTTATTTAATTTGCACCTTAAACACAGCAAATTAACATCCAGTGGGACTTCTCTACACTATTGATTTTTAATCTTACCTCAGCTGCCATATAGTAATAAGACTGCATGTGATATGTTCTCGTATGGTGTTGTACGTGTTAAAAAATAGTTTGGGTTTTCAGACCCAGATTCACTTGCTGAATCAGAATGAGCTAGGAAGATTGATATGTTAGAGTACTGCTATGAGTGTGTGCAGTCAATAATTCACACCTGGACTACTTCACATTGGCAAAACTGACTTGTTAAGGACAGCTATGAGAAAATGAAAATGAGCCCTAAGGCTTAGGTGTCAGACATTCCATTTCCCAGATGCCCATATAGATAAATTGATAAGCTATAAATTACAACACATGAGGAGTGCAACATTTAATCTGACCCTAACACAAGGATAGTACAACAAAAAAATGTTGAAAGAAGATATGGAAATCAATATTTATGGTCTGGACATAACATATCCAAACTATGACAACGCCTTGAGTGAATATTGGGGTGAAATCACTGTCCAGGGTGATGCTACATGGAACAACTTTTAAGGGACAACATGCAATTGAAAAAGGTAAATATAAGATAGTTGCAACCTCATCCACTAGGTATTGTAAGAATGAATAAATAGGACGAAAGAACAGAGTGTTTAAAGAAAGGACCAAGACGTCGAAAGGGGAACATATAAACAGGGGATTTTGTTGTTCCCTTTTCTCGAATGAAGACAGGACACGACGACTACCCAATGAGATGTGATAATTTAGAATCTCGGAGGGTGTGGGAAAGGATGAAAGTACAAGATAATTAAGTAAATAAAGAGGCAATGCAAAATTTATCACTGAATGATTTTGCGAATGTGAATGAATAATTCTGAAGCCTATAATGCATCGTCAATCTCGCTATTAACATTCTTCTTTGGACTTTGATTCGGCATAAAGATTTATTCGATTCATTGTCTTATAGAAATACCTCAAAAGGACACCAAAGAACATCCGCCTGACCATCAGTGGCGATACGCACGTATGATACGGTTTAGACAACGCAAGCGCCCCGGATCACACCAGTATGAGTATCCCCATATTGAGGACAGGCACCCATTGGTTTAGCCTCAATCGTAAAAACGCACAAGTTGTAATTGAGTCTGCAAACAAGTTGTTACCAGTTTGTTTACAAGCCAACAACAAAATGTGTTCGCACTACTCACTCCAAGTAACCAAGTTGCTGTGGCAAGTCCGATGGTATTATCAGGACCCGCTGTCCTGTCTTGTTAAATCAGGTACCCGTGCCCAGTTTTATTGATTTTATTTAGTTTATTAGTTCAGGCTACCAATAGAAAAGCCAAGCATGGATGAAATTGGTACGGGTACTCATTTTAGCCTTGCCGATAAATTGACTGTAGTATGGCCCAATATTTTCTCCCAGCTCGTTATCGCGATACAGATAAATCGGTTAACAATATCGTTTCAAATCAACATCACGCTATTCAACACGTTTATACGATGACAGCGGAGTTACAAACAGTTTTTAAATTCTATAGCCCTGTTGCAGTCAATCCAATTTTTAAAATCCTCGACAAGGTCTAATGTACAAATCTCAGGGTTGCAGTTTTTATGCACAATCTTAATCAACTTTGAAATATTCCTGAACCAGCCCAAAGCTATTTTTTAAAGTATACGATGCAGTAGAATACCATACAGAGAAAGTAAGGATCATAAAAACATGACTAAATCAAATAATCACCAGGCATAAATTTATATGTATTTGATTACATGAAAAACTGACCAAAAATTATTCAGCTCGTGCAGTCTATAGTGACAATATTCTTTTCTTAAGGTGGCTCCCTACAGTTTTATTTTTCAAAATCATTAACAAATGAAATTATGGTATTGTTTATATTAGTAATATTTTGGAGCATCAATTCCAACCCGTGTTCCAACAAATATATTTTTGCGAAAAAACGTGGTGATATACACGCGTCCAACGTAAACGAACATAAAAATAATCGTATGATTCTCGATTGTGTTTCTTCCGGTAAATATTTTTAAAACCTCTCTGACTTCCCTCTAATATTGAAATGAATAATATAGAAATGTGTAGAAGTTAATAAAACCGTACGAGCGAAAGATAAAAAAATTACCTCAAAAAGTGCTCGTACGATTATTTTTTCAGCACAACGGTTTGCCATCATTTAAACTAAATATAGGTAATATTCCTGTGTGCAAAGAATTAGGAAACTTTTACCGGAGAAAATTTATTTATTTTAAAATTGCCCTGTTGTCATAAAAACAGAGATAATGGACCTTTTGCATAATAGACCAGCTTATGATCTACATAGCAAGAAGGAAATAAATCACCACAGCTAAAAAGAGCATACCGAAATTAGTATATTTGCCAAGTTTGGCAGCGAAATGTTGTAAAGTATGGAAAATATATACTACATTATACTACGGTCGGGAGCGTGTAACTAGTTTAGTTACACACTTCGGCCGTAGTAAAAAAGTATACAAATTGCCAACTTCGCCTGGCTATTTTTTTCCATACTTTGCAACATTTCGCAGCCAAACTTTTAGGAAATTTCCTTTTTGTTGCCCGAATAAAAAATTGGTTTATTATATGCAAAAGGTCCATTAACGAAATTGTTAATTGTTCGTAATATGCATTGATGTAGCAGTTACCTAGCCGAGTTTCGTGATCAAACCTGGCAACATGATAAAATAAGCACAACGGTGTGCAACCTAATTAAAACTGTAGGGAGCCACCTTAGTGGAGTACTGTAATTATATATTTAGCTCTTATAATTATATGTTATTTCAGTCAGGTGAACGTGGAGACAAAAACGTGGGAACTAGACAGACCATTATATGATTTGCTGGAATTATGGATTTTTTAGTGGAAACGCCAGATGAATTTAGCTTTGCAATAATTTAATTTTTTAACAATTAATTAAGTTTTGCAAAACTTAACTCACGTGGTGCTTACACGAACAAACGTGTAAAGAACTTATTAAAAAGTTACTATTTCAAAAGCATTCCACATGGTTTTAGTAGTAAAATAATGTCTTTAAACATAGTGGATATATAATCTATGCGCACTCCAATGGGGGTATTGACATAAGTTGCACGAGCCAAGTATACAAAACTCTATATTAATCGGATATATATGGGTATAGAATTACTTAACCATTTCAGCTCTAACAACTTGCTCTTGCAGTACTATTAATGCCTGTTTTTACGCCAAATGTTTTAGCCCATTTTCGATCTAAATTATCATACTTTGTATTACAAATTTCCCTCTCTTTCTACGATATATAACTTATGAAGTACGTGTACTATATCTTAGACGAAATCCTAAATTTATTGATTCGGCTATTTTTCGCTTCAGATGTCCACCTGAGACTCAGGACAGGGGAGATTATAGCTCCCTCGAAGTAAATGTTGGGGGCTTAGCATAGATAATTTTTTTTGACTGCCTAAAATTGTCTGCATTTCAGACTATTGGTCTGACGGTTTATTCAAACCAAAGGAATTCTTTGAATGCTGATTTCCGCGTCTATAGTACACACACTTACAATGTGTCGATTTTAGGCTAATTAATTATAAATGCAGTACAAATTTTTTTATTCCATTCTTACGTACCTATCACTAATCATCAAAATGTGAACGAACGTGTTCTTCAAAGTCCTTCTGCGCGCAGTGGGGTGGATAAAAAATTTCACAGATAGGACACTGATGCTCAGGTTGAATCGAGGTCGAAGGGGGTCCTCGGCTAGTCTTCTCCACTATGGTCGACTCAAATACATTGTCTATATTAAAAACAAACCACAAAACAAATATATAGGTTTACTTTTCTTTTCATTTTTTACACTTGACGTTGTGGCAAAGTTAACATATATTGAGATAGCTTTACTTTTTTTATTAATTAATTCCAGTATAATGTGATTTAAATATTTGACGCATATTCGAACCTAATCGTTATACGTCCATATAAATTAACCCCGTGGTTAATTTCATTATTGCGCATTTCAGAGCCGAAGGCAAAGTTGTTCCCTAGGACACCGTAAATTTTCACACGTTATATTGCCGCTAGCTTAATAATCTCTATGATGAAATCCACGAGAAGATTAATTTTAGGTATTAAAAGGACCCTGGGAACGAAGTTGGAGCAAGTTATATAAAAGACCAGTTAACTGTTAGCTGTAGTTAAGGACAGAAATGGCCAATCAGAGTCGCCCTGCATGTATAACCCAGGCCTCAAAGTTATTTCACCGCTTCGTTTAATCTCGGGTTACAGGAATTTGCCTCGATTGGCTTAGCCTTCGTTTTCGCTTCCCTGATGTTCTAACGGAAATGGTGCCAAAAAAGTAACGTTCAGATCTTCTCTTCTAGTTAAACCAAAAACGTCAAAAACTAACGAAGAAAAATGAAAACTCACCTTTGTTTGCGTCGTCTTGCGAAGCAACACAATCAACACCAATTTTTCTTTTCAGTTCTTCTATAAGTGCATTCTGCTTCTCCATCTGCTGTTTCCATTTAATTCTCTCAGCTTGCATCTCCATCACTATCGAATCATTTTGATTGGATGCATCTTCAAGGGCACGCTGAAGTTTTTCATTCTCGTCACTTAAAGTAAAGAGACATGAAATCGTGTAAAACTTTTATGCATGGGGTTTTTAAAATGGGATAAAATTGTCCGGTCAAAGTTTGCGAATAAATAATGTTCTACATTATCAATGGGTGTGCGTCATTTTTTAACGTAGCTATTACACCAGGTTTTGTTTGAAACTATTATATTATTACGTAATTTAGCTTGTAGGTATACCACGTTAAATACTGCAAAGCTTTCGGTCCGTTAACCCGGGCCTTCATCAGTGCAATTACCTGAATATACATTTATAAGCGAAATTACTTATTGACTGTCACCATGCGAACATACAAGAATATTATTATATTATTGTTTGACTGATTAATATTCATTTAATTACACTTTTTTGTCTCTTGGGATCTGTCGCAAAAGAGGAATACATTACAAACATTGTACATGGTGTATAAAAAAGGCAAGCACTTAACATGCATTCGTATTGTTATAAGGCCCAATAGTACAATAGTACTTCTAAGTGTATTTTTAATAATAAGTGTGGCTGCTTTCTTAAGACACCCTCCATGTTTATATTTACAAAACAAGAGCATTAATATGGTAGAGGTGCCAGCCTCCCCACAAACAACGTAAAAAACCAAAGAAATTAATCAAATATCATTTTCAATTACATACCTTAATGGTGCAATCACACCTTCGTTGTTCTCAGTTAATGCCTTGTACTTCTCTTCAATATCAATTAGGGCATTGCACTTTGCCTCCAACTGATTGTGGAGACATTCAATGTGGGATTGGAGCTCTTTATCTTCAACCAGACGCTTTTGTGTTTCTTCATTGCCGATGCAAACTTCTTTTTCGAGAGTGGCGACTTGTCGTTGCAAGAATTCTTTTTCTTTTTTAATCTACATAATATGTATATGAAACAATATAAAGTAGCAGGTACAGTACCTTAATATGTTGCCTGTAGTTAATATGACTGTAGTTAATAGTGTGCATATATATGCTATAAAATTTTAGAATATGTGGTTGTTAAAAGAAGTAGCTACAGTGAACTCTTTGATAATGTGTCCTAAAGTAAGATGAGCACAAGTTTAGCAAAAACATTTAGCAAACCAAGGGCCTGTTTACATGGAGTGAGTTATCCCTGCTAGGCGAGGTGAAAACTGCATATAATGAAAGACTAGTAAGGTTAAGCCTTTGATCTGATGCGCTTTTTACCTCGCCTAGCCGGGATAACTCGCTCCATGTAAACAGGCCCGAAGTACTTTAATAATAGGGTGATTTAGCACGAGGACGTGAGCGTCAAAGACGACGTGAAAATGGCGAATAAATGGCGTGATGCGCCCAAATATGGACATGCCACGCCATTTACTCGCCATTTTCACGTCGTCTTTGACGTTCACGTCCTCATGCTAAATCACCCTAATATCTGGGATGGCTAGCGTGCACGGGAGAACCTAGACTCATTTAGTTGGGGGGTTTCTCGCAGATTTGCCCTGCTAAAATGATTGATGTTCTGCTTTTGTCTGGTAAGCAAGCACTATAACTACATGCCTACATAATACGTGGTGTCCATGCATAAATAAACCAATGCGAATGTAGCTACATACGCGCAGTAATAATTCTTTATTCTTTGATACACAGTGTGTCCCAAAAAAGTGAAACTATAGAAATTATCTCATTGTTTTTAACAGTGCTCTTAACGCACGTGATTACGCACAAGAATATTTAATGAAATTATACTGTGTTATACTACAAAGACTCTGTTTTGTCAGTTGAGCCATGAAGTGGACTTGTAATAGGAGTTATTCAAAATTCAAGAAGCTGATGTCTACAGTATGCATCTGTTGATTTAGCGTAGCGCTCAGGCGTACAAATTAAAACAGTAGGATAATTTCTATAGGGTCACTTCTTTTTCGGACACACTGTAGTTCACTTATTTAACTTAATTGGAAATTTTCGCAGTTTCACTTTAGCCCAAGTGTTCATAACGATGTCAAAATCAATGTTGTCAGTGAGATCTCATTCGCAAGTGAGAGTGATTAAATCGTTTGAATGATTTATCAATATCATACTTCAGTAATTCAATATCGGATATCAATATTGGATATGAATATTGGATATTAGACAAGACAATGAGCTTGTTAGGCATCAATATGGGGGGAGGGGCTATGAGCTATCAAAATTTGAAGAAATTTAATGCAGTCACATTGAAATTTGGTGCAGGATTTTCTGCTGGGTTTTTTTTTCATTTTTTTCCTGGGACCAGTGCTGTAAAACTCGTAGTTCTACCAAGCCTGTTAAAAACACACTTTTTTCCCATCTCATTAGAGCATTGCATGGACTGATGTATAGTAATGTGGTGAGGAATGCCATCCTCAAGAAAATGCTACATTTTAGAAATTAATGAAACACCTGCAAAATGTGTGTATAGGACTTAGCTGAATATAGTGGCATATTACTATAAAGCTTAAAATTATAGTGATAAATTAAAGCTGTTTACCGTTGACAATTCTTCTCTTGCATTGTGTGTTTCCTCCTTATAGTTTTCCAAAGATTTCTTCAGGGTGGCTGCAGTTGTCTTTTCGTTCTCAAGTGTCTGTTTAAGATTTTGAATCTCAAACTCTGCCATCGATGATGGACTTTGTGTTGTTTTCTGACAACTGGGGACTTTTTGAACTTTCTTGAGTTGCTTTTCATACTTCTGACACTCTTTAAACTTTGTCTTGTATGCTTCAGCTCCCATATTCAGTCGTATACGAAGGTCTTCAATTTGCTTTTTTAGGTTAGCCATTTGGAATCGCAGGTCAGATTCAGGCATTTCAGATTGAATAGTAGCAAGCTGTCGCTTCAAATCAGCTTTTTGACGCCAGACATTTTCCATATCTTTCTTGGCCTGTATGTACTGCTTTCTCAGTTGCTCATGGGCTGTTTTTAAAGCAAAGTATGATCCCTCCAAAGCGATATTTCCTTCAGCCTTGCTGGCATCTGCATTTAACTGCGAACTTCCGTTTTCCAGCTTTTTAATAGATTCCAATTCCTGTGCATAGTTCTCCATTTCAAGTTTCATTCTTTCAATTTCATTCTCTTTTACAGTTATTTTCTCTTCTAGATGTTTAATTTCTTGAGTTTGCTTTTCAGTCTGCTTCAAAGCTGAAGAATTCAATTGCAATTGAACATTCAATTGTTCTTGAAGTTCACCAACTTGGCGATCAGATGCAGAACACAATGAGTTGTTGAAAGCTCTCTCTTGGTCCAGCTGATTTTGTATCTTCAAAATGGACCCCTCATATTCTTGGACTTGTTCTTGATTAACTTTTCGCTCCTTTTCTAGGACTGAAAGGGCATCATCAAGTTTCTCCTTGGTGGCAGACAACTCTTTCTGGGAGCCTTCTAACTGTGATGTAACCAATTCAATTTGGGTTTCATACTTACAAAGTTCTTGAGCAATGGATGATTGTTTATTGCCAAATGATTGGGACATATCCTCCAGCTCTTTCTGAGTGGCAGCCAATTCATCTTTCATCACCAAATTCTCAGCTTGTAATTGATAAACTTGTTCACATTGTTCAGCCACAGATTTTTCCAAGGCTGCATGTGCTTGATTTGATTTGACCAGAGAATCATTGGTCTTGATGTTTTCAACAACAAGCTTATCGTAATCTTCCAGCACAGCTTCTTTCTCACTTTTTATTTTCTGAATTTCACATTCCAAAGTTGCAGCCTTGCAACTATTTTCCTCAATACTGTCCAAAAAGTTTTGGATTGTGCCATCTCTTTGGGAAATTACATGTAGGAGCTGTGATCTTTCTTCTTCAAACTTCTGCTGCTCTGAAGTTGTTTGGACATGGCATAGTCGTTCATGATCCAGCTGCTTTTGAACTTCTTCCGTTTTTTCGTTTGCCAACTTCAAAGCACTCTGAGAACTCTTCAGCTGCTCGACTGTCTCCTTAAACGATTCCTCAAAAAAAGTTTTCTCAGAGTTCACTTTTTCCAGCAACTTTTTCTGTTTTTCATTTTGAGAAACCAGATCGCTTTTTCTTGCCTCCAACTGCAGAATCATATCCTGAAACTTGAGACAATCATCTTCGAATTTTTCTTTCGAAGCTTTCAATCTAGAATTTTCGTCGTAAGCTTTTGCAAGCGAATCTTCGAGCAAAGTTGTGCGATTTTTAACAATCAATAATGTTTCGCCGCTTTCGTCTTCTTCCTCGCTGCACTCTAGTTCGCCTGGCTTAGAAAAACTGATCTGAAACGGATAGCTGGCCCCGCGAATCTCCCCGCTGCTTGTAACATAACAAAACTGATAGAATTCACATTCTTCTGAGGGCAGCTTGCTGCCGAGAAACACTACTGAATTTTGTGTCGACAAAGATGCACTGGACGAAATAGACGAAGTACGTTCGGCACTCTTTTCGATGACTGGGGAGTATTCGTAGCATAAATATTCCTTTGGAGACTGCCAGCCGACTTTGTAGAGCCCTATCCAGTCGTTTGCTGTCGCCAAGACAGACGGTTTGATGGAATAACAACAACGTATATCTTTTCCGGGTAGATATATTTCTTGAATATTGTGGAAAACAACACCAGCAAATTTTGATTCTTCTATCGATTCACTTGTAACCGAACTGTCGTTTACAGCGCCTTCCATTTACGATTTTGGTGGGTTTTTAGTTATAGTATATTACTCAGCAAAAGAAGAGAGTACTTCGACAACAATTTTTGGCTATTTCAATTACGACATGAACCATATTCCGCAATGACGACACCACAGCCTCGTACCCAGGCGCTTTATTGGAAAACATAAAGGTTGCATTCAGCGTAATTCAGCGTAATATAGAGATCTTTGTAAGATGTGCGAGCGCGCGGGGGTGCTTGGGGAGGAGTATGGGGAGGAGGTGTCGGGATCCGACGAAGGGTCGGCGTTAGACATGACGTCATAAATTTTGCAATAACGGAAGTATAATAACAGAAGTCTTACATGAAGTCTTTCTAGAGCTGGTTCATAAAAATGAAAAAATAAAAATGGCGATGAGAGATGATACATTTATACATTTATAAATGTACACGAAAGTGTAAATGTCTGTTACCCTCATACCCAGTATAGGAGTGATCATATACTTATGTAATAGTATCTCTGACTTCACCTTAATTACGGTTAGGGTTAGGGTTATTGAAAATTTTATGACGTTAGGTACGTTAGTTCGATATGATCTAACGCCGACCAGCGAAGGCGGTGAAGGCCACTGAGCTATATAATAATAATTCCTGCAGGACCGGCTCCCAATGTTTTTTTCCAGAGAACCGGTCCTCCAGGAATTTCAGATTATGCGAGGGCCGCTCGCGGCCTGAAGTGTAATATGAATAATATGAAGATAAAGGAGACGAGATATAACAATGTAATACCACTTTATTTCACTCAAAATAGCGATACAAAGTAAAACTTTAACTAATTAACATAATATTAACAGCAAACCCCCAAACTCCTTCGCGCGCCCAGCTCCTTCGCCATTTTATTTAGACACCTGAAAAAAACAGAAAAACAGCAAACAATTATAAACTCCAAACCAATAGTTCATGAGCCCGAATCTCTGAAAACTGGGCGGGGGGAGGGACATTGTTATATCTCGTCTCCTTTATCTTCATATAATTCATATTACACTTCAGGCCGCAAGCGGCCCTCGCATAATCTGAAATTATATTTCAGAACAGTCGTCTCGATATAACAATGTAAGTTCAAAGCTTCTCATGAACTGTTGGGGTTGTACTTAAAACATTACGCATAACTGGTTGATTGTAAACTGGTCTATAATAAAAACGTTTAAACGTGGAGTCCGTAGACCAATCAGCTAAGGCTAAAATATCCTTTAAGCAACAGTTGTTTCTGACGGCTGCTGAACTGCAGCTGAAGACGTAGCACTTCAGGTTGAATGGGCTTTAAAAATACTGGTATCTACTCCTCCTTAATTGTTTTAAAAATTCTACTATCCAACGATACGAAGAGTATCCGAAGTAATAGGTTTATGAGGACGAATATAAGATAGCAACAATCGATTTGGATCTGATCGACCTATTTGTGTTCGAAATTCTTTCGTGCGTTTTTCATGTTCTTGAAGACAATTTACTACACAAAGATATTAACATTTTCTGGAAAACTCGCATGGAACGATTTCTTAAACCCATGAAGGAAGCGAGACTTTTTGACCAAGTCCGGTAGCTCAAACACGACTCCTTCTGGAGTGACGCGTCTAAATCGAAGGTCATGAGCTACGACTTCTGAAACACGTTCTAGTGAAGTTATGGCTAGCAGTGTTCCCAACTTTAAAGACAAGGTTTTGAGAGGTAATGCGGTTAATGCCTCATTACTCCCAAGACATTTTATATAGTCGATAACCATTTGATAATCCCACGTTACCGAATAACGTGGCAATGGTGGTCTAGAATTGAACATTCCTTTCAACAATTGAGTTACTAAAGGATGTTCGCCAACTCTTAACACGTGATATGGTCGTACAGCAGTACGTTATCGCAATTGCTTAGGCTTTTACTCGTACAAGAATGGAGGGATGATACGTCACAAGAATATGGTAGATTTATTCCTGAAATTATAGTACATAGTATGATACAGTATGATCAAGTATGATATGGTATATGATATAGTACGATACTATATGATGCAATATGATACAGTATGATACTGTATGATATACCGGGTGGCGCAAAAAAGGTTAATTAACCTGTTTGATTGAGTAATTAACCTGTTTAACTTCAAAACTAAAACGTCTGTTACACTGAAATAACTTTTTTTAGATTCGTGAATATCTAACTTAAAATTTGGTATATACCATGCGTATTTTGATACAATATTTCCCGAGATATCAGCGTTTTACTTTTAATACGTATTTTTGAAAAGTACAAAAATTAGTCAAAAATGCCATATTAAATAAGAAAAGATAATCTTCGTTTTCAGTCAACGTTTTTCCTGATATGACATATAAAAAATATATATTACACTGCATGTATATTGGTTTTATATTTCTTGAAAATGTCAGCTGGAACAGGATATGCACACATAAAAATATATTATACATAAATCCATTTTAATAGTTCCGACTCATGCTGATAAGTATATGCTGATATCAAAAATGACAAATAATCAACAAACGTTCTGATTGGCTAAGACAGAAAGTTTGAATTTCAATGAGAACGTCAGCAATTTAACTGTCATTTCGTAAACCTTTTTGTAAAAGCGTTTCATAAACTTTGTGCATAGGTAGCCCAATGCGCTGCATTACGTACGTCACTTGGGTCACGTTACGTATATAGTATATAATAACATAAGGTTGGCAAGAATATTTTATTTCCAATATACATCGTTTAAATATGATCAAAATATTAACATCTATTCTATAAAATACGCCAAAAAAATAACAGCCCCTAAGTGTAGGGTAGTTTTACTAAATTTGTACGTCGTTTTTTTGCAATGAAACGCGATTAAAAAATGAAAATATGCCAAAAGTTTGTTGAAATTTGCCGTGTCCCGATGCGGGATGCCTGTTGCCGTGCAAAAACATCGATTTGAAAACTCGTATACGCGATCCTATTGGTCATCACAAAACGGTCAAAGCTGCATGACCAATAGGATCGCGTATACGAGTTTTCAAATCGATGTTTTTGCACGGCAACAGGCATCCCGCATCGGGACACGGCAAATTTCAACAAACTTTTGGCATATTTTCATTTTTTAATCGCGTTTCATTGCAAAAAAACGACGTACAAATTTAGTAAAACTACCCTACACTTAGGGGCTGTTATTTTTTTGGCGTATTTTATAGAATAGATGTTAATATTTTGATCATATTTAAACGATGTATATTGAAAATAAAATATTCTTGCCAACCTTATGTTATTATATACTATATACGTGACCCAAGTGACGTACGTAATGCAGCGCATTGGGCTACCTAGGTGCTTTGTGCAAAGTAAAACGGGAAGAAACAAGATATGTGAAGCACAACAGATAGCAAAGATGAACAGGGATACAATCAAGACCGAAAGCCGTGTAAGAGAAATAATTCATAATCTGCAAGCTTATAAGTGTTTTCAAAGGGTGCGTGTTTACTTTCTTTCTTTCGTATTTGCTTCGCAGTAAGGATGAGCTGTATTTGTATAATTTTCAGCTTTGTATGCCGTTTATTTGTTTAATTTTCAGCTTTTTATGCAAACGGATAAACCTGTGAAAGGCTATTACACCTTTGCTATAACTTCAAAAAGTGTTTTTGAAAGTGTAGTTTGAATTTTGATATAAAAAATACACACTATGTCTATGAAGTATAAAACGTTTAGCCGTCGACTGTAATTACAGAATAAAACAAGGTAGGAAGCTCTTTTCTACGTTACGAAACTTACCACTTAGACTATGACAAAATACATCAATTAAATTGACCGAAACTAATAAAAAAATATAGTAAACTAATCTCTGATAATTTTCCTCGCTTCTTACATGCGAATTACGATTTAAAACTACTTTTAACATGACAAAATACGGCAATATTTTTATAGTTTTTGATGAAAAATATTTCGTACGATGCGGGATGACAGTGGTCTCTGTATTCGTCATTGTTTTGAAATGTTTTACATGATCCTATTGGTTGAAAAAAGTTCGTTCAAATACTTTACAGTTTGTTTCTTTTTCAACCAATAGGATCATGTAAAATATTCCAGGTGATCTCGCGCTCATATTTCAGCCAATCAGCGCCCAGAAAGTTTGTGAAAATAGAAATCCATTCTGGAGTGTTTTATCGATTATATCTTTTGTTATTCTTGATGGAATCATTCGAAATTTTGTGATTATGTTTAGTTACTAGAACTATAGCTCTGATATAAATTTGACACCAAAATAAAGTATATTTCACGAGATATTAAGTTGTTTCAACCGAGAAATGGATTTTTATATGACAACTAGTCCTAGTCCTTTCTCGCCATTTCAGATCAACTGGTTTCAAAACCATGACGAATACAGAGACCACTGTCATCCCGCATCGTACGAAATATTTTTGATCAAAAACTATATAAATATTGCCGTATTTTGTCATGTTAAAAGTAGTTTTAAATCGTAATTCGCACGTAAGAAGCGAGGAAAATTATCAGAGATTAGTTTACTATATTTTTTATTAGTTTCGGTCAACATAATTGATGTATTTTGTCATAGTCTAAGTGGTAAGTTTCGTAACGTAAAAAAGAGCTTCCTACCTTATGTAATTATACATTATACATTACATTGACAAATTGCCGAAAAATTTTTCGGCCGCCAATTTTGGGTCGCCTATGATAAAACAACATTGGAGGCTTTTTCTTTGTCTCTGAAGTTTTGTACTGTTTTAATCGTTTGAAACTTCGATTTTAAACCATTACTTTATTAATTGCTGCTAACATGTGGCCATTTACCATATTTTAATTTCAAAAATGTATATCCAACCCATTTTTTAAAGACACCGGACATTTGACAGATGGCCTGTTGGCCGATATTTTAAAGCCTGCATGCTTATATATAGATATTTATTATATATAATTTCTCTTCAAAGAAACATATTTGCGGGATGCATGTATGGTATGCTGTAATACTCACTGCATATACATTATTAAACATCGTTTACTCTAACTCTG